TATATATATATATATATATATATATATATATATATATATATATATATATATATATATATATATATATATATATATATTTATAAAAAGCGACGTCGTGTCACCTTTTTCACGACGTCGCCTTATATATAAGAATATATATATATATATATATATATATCAAGCGGTATACAGTTTTGTACCGTACCGAGCGAACATCGAAACTCCGGTACGGTACGAAATTACATACCTTGATACATACATTAATATCATGAGCCCCCTCACTGTTTTGATCAAAACAATGGGATCGACAGAGGATCTAGCTTGGCTAGCCACTTGGAAGGCTTCATGGTCCCATGGATTGGCTACATCAAACATGGAGGATTCCTACTTCGACCTAAATAGATTAGGTGAGACTTCCAGTAGCACATAAGGTGGTTGCCTAGTTTGGAAAGTAAGTGCATTTCTAAGCACATCAACCCAGCTTAGGAAGTAGTTCATTCCTGAGGATGAAAGATGATGAGAAAAGAACAATAATAAAAAAGAAAAGGATGTACATCATTCCCAAAGAACATTTGGCCACCTACACATCAGAACATACATGACAGACCACTAAATACTGAATCCTAAACCAGTTAAGTGGTTAAAATTTTCTATTTGTCCATCATATAAGAACCAAGGTAAAACAACAACGATTCCCACAACAGCGACATCCCAACCGGGCCATAGAAAAATTGATACAATTTGTATATTTATCTCCTATCAGAAATTAATTCCCACAGATATTAAATCCACCCATAATCAAACCCCAGCATCCACATCAAGAGACATGTTGTCCAAAATCTTTGTAATCCATGTGAGATTAAACTAGGGTATTCCTCAGCCTATAACCATCAGGTACCTGAGAGTACACTGTTCATAGATTATGCCATGGCATGTCAGCCCATACAACATTTCTCTGACATTATATTGTCATAATCCAAGTCACAAAAACTTAAAAGCATGCATTATGGCCTTATAGGAACAAGAATTTATATGATAATGCACAGAGACTACTCATGTAATTTATGACAATGGTTCTCCACTTTACTGTGAATTTAATTCACAGCTTAGAAGGTTATCATCGAAGTTATAGAGTAGATCCAATATATTCCAAAAATCCATATACACCAAGTTCTCATAATGCATAATGAGGCAAAAAAAAGAGGAAAAACTGAGTTGGAAATAAATTAAACGAACATATTGGATAATTTGTTGACAAGAAAACACCAACTAGTTTACAAGACCAAGGGAAAGACAGTCAACTCGGGGGCATACTTCTTTCCAACAAATTCACGTAAATGGAATTATCATTACCCACAGTGATTAAAATAACAGTTCATATGTGAAGTGGACTTTTTCAGTAGTAAATAACTCGGTGCCAACCTACTTGCATCGAAAAATACTTTTAATAGCAACAATAATGGAAGTGATTATGCAACACTATCAGAAACAAATAGCTGCTATGAAAGGTTATAACCAAGTTTTGTTCAATTTTAGTAACATATTCATCTAACATACACCAATTCATTTCCGTCACAGAAGAGTTTTCATGCTCAATAAAAGATTGAAGGTCTTTGTTTTCTGATAGAAGATCCAAGGTCCCTATCAAAGCTCCTTAAAAGAAATGTTTATAACCAACTTATGACCTTATCAATAATACATATGCTTCAGCTCCTCACCACCCAAAAACACACACGCATGCGCTTGCGCACACACGAAAGGCCAACATCCTGGTTTCTCCTCCTAAGTATACAATTAATATCCTTTTTCAAATCAGTGTCAGCAAACAAGACAGGCGCAGTCCTTCACTCGTCCAAACCTCAAAAAAAAATCGATTTAGCCTTTGACTTCACTTAAAAATGGAGCCCTCCGTTTCAACATAACAACTTGTGATCGGATTAATTCCTCTTGGTAATGTTTCAGATCACATACACAAAAAAAACCACGTAATTCACAACCATAAAGAAGCAGCAGCAGCTCAATTACAAATCCCACTAATTTCTTGGGAAATGCAGCAAGAAAAAAGATCCAGTACGAAAACAGGGTCCAAAACCTACTCTATCACGAAGATTATCTTGAATCTATAAACCAAAACCAACACCAAACAGGATCATGTAAACTGCACAACAAGATCAACCCTAGTAATTAAAGGAAAAACGAAGTTAGGGTTTGACGAAGACTACATCGCGATGATTTCAAACTTACTCAGCCGGAGAAGACATCCTCGGGATCGCAACGTGATCTCTCTTGCTCTCTCAGGGCGAGACGACGATCGAGTAATGAAGAAAGCAACGCGGAGCTTCTTCTCTCTCCGTTGGTTTCCTGGAAACCTCTTTGAGGACGGAAGAAAACAGAGGATTCCGGAAATCGACGTGGCAAATTAATGACGACCGTCGGATCATCCGATCGGCCAGTACCCGACGCTTTTGATCACGCGGCGGGGCCCGCGGTTCTCTTCGGCCGAAAAGAATTCCGATTCAATCGAACCGGATCGGATCATATTTGGGCTTCAATGCGGGCCAACCAGACCGCCTGTTTCTCCAGCTCGGCCCATTATATTATGTGGTTGATTTTTCCAAAGCTTTGAAATCTATCATATGTTTATATTAACATAATATCTATTTATTCCTTAATATGTTCATTTTTCCAGGAATATTTACCCTTTAATCCGTAGTCCAATCAACATTAAACATCATGAGGAATCCTACAAAGATTAGAACACAAGATAGATTAGGTAAAACATAAATGTCATGAGATATAATTCATATGATAACCAAATCAATAATATTACAAAATAAGATAGATTAGATGAGATATAATTCATATGGATTATATGTCTTCCAACTTGGTGGAATGTCATCCGTTCTCTCTCAAAATTTTCACGGTTATACGTTATAACATTATTCTTTTAGAAGAGGAGGTTTCGAAAGTAAAAGAAAATTCATAGAGATTCAATAACGAACAATATGCGCTACGAAGAAAGAATTAAATTCCTCGTCGTAGAAGATCAAGTTATCGGTTAGCTTGAGCTAACTTTAACCTAAGTACAAATTCTTTTGCATCGATCGATCATCGTATAAATTATAAAGATTTTTTATCGTTTTTTCTCTCATTTTCTCTGGACATACTAACGAAAACCTCATAATTTTATATTCTCATCTGACTACGATATAAAAGTATTTTCATACTTAATTTTTTAGTATGAAAAATTATATTAGTAATCCATAGATCCTTATCGATCATAACACTTATCACACTTTTTTTTTCTTGTTTAACAAGAAAAGGATTGATAAACATTAAAAAAATGACAACGAGATGAGAAGTAGATAACTTTGCAAGCTTGTCATTCAGTAATCCATGAATTATTCTTTTTCCAATTGTTTATGGTCATATTATTCTCGACAAAGTTGAACAGTATGAGAATTGTTTTGCTCCTAATAAGGAAGAATCAGAGCTATAATTTTGATGGCAAACTCACAAACGTGAAGCCATGAATGCCCGAGAAAGAGGATAAGGTTCGGCTGCCTACATGCGGTGGAGTTGCCATCCAAACAAAGAAGAAAGCTCCCATTTGGAATGGTCAACCGTTCTATTTTATCTCATGTCTTCTCCCCATCCTACTCTCTGCTCGTTTATTTTATGGCCCAATTCAATGGCATATGGTTTGAAGAGAGAGAGAGAGAGAGAGAATATAATAAATGAGTTGTAATTGTCAAAGACAAATGGAGGTTTTATATTTTCCAAAGACCTTTTTTCTTATTTATCATAATTCCTAAAATATTCCTCCCTAATACAACTCGAGTAGTATCTCATAACACTCGATGGATCGATACGATACAAATCAGTTCGATCTATCAATAAAATTTATTTTTGAATAGGCTTACAACATCATAAACATATCGAGTCTAATTAAAAATATTATAATTAAGTCAAATTGACACGACACTCTACTCATATATAAAAATCGAAACATCATAATTGTTGTAAGTATTATAAGGAATAGAACAAAAACATGTTCTGAAGAAATATAAAACTTAAGTCAGCAATTAAAACTGTCATAAAAATAATAGCTATTAAACTGTCAATGCCTTTTGCCAGTTTATTATTATTATTATTATTTTGGTCTTATCCAAATCTTTAATGAGTAGCTTTGATACGACTTAGAACCGACCATGGCGCTACGCTGCCTAACCTCGGATCCTATCTCGGCGGCTGTGCATTTGGATTGAATTCCTCAAATTAGCAATTCGATAACGTGGTGGCTCATCAAAAGCTCGTTGGACGTGACATTTGAGCGTCTAAGAAATCGTGACCATGTTCGGGAGGTCATCGAATAGGGAGAAACATGGAACGTGGCAATATAGAATTATGGATATGAAAGGACGACGTCGTCTTTATCCATATTCCTCCTTATCCTATCCACAAACTCCTCCTAATCCCCTTCGTGTTAGCGTCCGCGGAGACAAGTTATCCTAATCCTCCTCATAAAGGCGAGGCGAGGCGATGATATAAGAAAGAACATGGACCGCTCCCTCGGTGCCTGCCTTGCGGTATATATGTTTGCAATCTAACCTCAAAGCGTTGCACATCAGCGGATATGGGTGAAGGTGATCTGTGTGAATCTTCGTCGTCCCATGGCGAGTCTGGTGATTCGAAGCTCTCCTGGTCTTCTTCGGAGCTTACGGACGATGCAACTTCCTCGTCTCCTCGCTCGTCGTCGACCGCATCGCAGCCAGATTCGAATGGATCTCTTTTCGACTTGTCGTCGCTCATGGCCCAACTCCCAATCAAGTGAGCACCGACTTCTCCCGTACACTAAGCTATTCTCTTCTGTCTTCTGTCATCAAAATTTCCCTTTTGAAATTTGGTTTCTGCAAATTTTTCTTTGTTTTGTTGCCCCTTATATTGCATGGCCGTTGATGAAGGTTAAATCGTTGAAACCTGCAGAAGAGGGCTCTCCAAGTACTATCAGGGGAAGTCCCAGTCATTTCGATCCCTATCAGATGTTAGATGCATGGAGGATCTTGCAAAGGAAGAGAACCCCAACAGGAAGAAGATGAAGGTATGCCACGGCATCGGAGGACTCGGTGCAACACCGAGGCTCTATAAGAAAACAACATCAAGGAGGGCTTCCAGGGGTTCATGTCCCTCTTTACCGGCGAGAAGGAACAGAAGTAGTCCTTTGCGGAGCAGGAAGCCGCTAGATTTACCTCCGGCGAAAGTGCACCGGCCCAATGATGTCTTGTGTCAGTGGGAGGAAAGCAAGGAGCAGTTGGCTCTACTATAACAAGACAACATGGAAGTGTACTGACATCAAAGGGGTACTACAATCCTTTTCCAACTTCGATAGAATTTACAACATTAAGTTAAATGAGAGTGATACCAATAAGATGCACTAATATCCCAACCATTTTAAGTCCTACCATACGAATCTTTTTCTAGCCACTGAAACCGAGTTGCGTCTTAATTTGATTCACCTCATCTAACTACTGCCTGCATAGGTAGTGTTCAAAAAGCGAAAGGATTGTCCTCTGCTCTTTGTTCCATGAAAGAAATTATTTCCTCTTTTGAGTCGGTAGGACTGTAGTGGTATTGCCAAGGAAATGGAAGAGCATGAATGCCAACATTTTTGCTAGGATTTGTGCCGAAAACATCTACAATGTACTTGGTGCAACTCTAATAATCAAAACTGCAGTTTAGACATTTGCCTGGTTCGACGCCTGATGATGCCTACGTCTCCAACTTATTCACTCTCACCTTCACCTTCAAAGTGTGGCATAATCTGTTCCAAGATGATATTTATCATGTCAGAGGGAAAGATGACAACATTAATTTTTAGATATACAGCTAAATTCGGCATGATTTATTCAACCGTATCGAGGGCGCTCAGAAGCATCAAACTCTTTTCCAGCTTTTGCTACAATAACTTACACATGCAGCAAAGATGATAAAAGTATTCCATGAGTAACCAAATATTGCACTATTTCAGGATGTTTGGACATGCTTAACCCAAGCAGATATTGAATGGCTCATTAGAGCGTTTATAGATATTAGCGATGATACCCTAATGCTTGTGAAATGGGCACTTTGTAACACATTAACGCTAACCTTAATAATGATAATGATGCCAAATAAGCAGTTTTTATTCGATAATCTTTAAAAGGGATATTCAAACTAGTATCTCATTTCATACCTCATCTGCAGCAATTCCAAGGTGATCCAAGAGCAACTTTATGCCACTGCCTTTTGAAGCTCCGCATGGAACAATTTCAAGCATATCTGGCGTTGCCTGAATGATATCTGCAATCCCTTGTGTTGCCTCCAACCAATATGGCCTTAGCGTAGAGATCACTTCAGCAGTTCCAAGAAAAAGCAACTTCTGCACATTCAAAATGAGATTCATATATTTTACCTTAGTGATCAGAAGTGTGAACCTGCCCATGGTATATGCTTCCTGGATTCACCCTAAACAATGACAGCTTAGTCATGATTGCCTTAAGAAAACCCTAAGTGCCTAAATCGAAATTTGCTCATTTAGAAACTTGCACCTACATTTCAAACAAGACATTACACTGAATGACCATTTTAAATTTCTTGCTTGGATTCTATCTCAGATGATTGAAGGTAAATAAAGAGCAAGCTAAGGCACTGTAGGTCAATTACTATTGCAATTCTGTGCTAACAATTGGACCATAGAATCTAAAAAATATGACATTGCGACTGGCTGACAAAAAAAGGATGAAATAAAGGAGACTTGAAATCTTTTTTGACTGGTTTTAGACAATGAGAAAAAATGGAAACGTCAAATTAGATGGCAAGAGAACATTGGTCAATCATGGGAAAGTATTACTGTACATAACATTGGGAGCCATCACCTAATTCAAAGTTCTCAGTTACAAAATACAATCTAGATTAATGAGACTGATTAATCAGAAAAAATGTTATATTATATATGCCATTTTCTTGGTTGTTTGGCACTGGCTACACAAATCCTCATCCACATGCTAAAATTATGTTTTGGATAATGTCACTTGATGATCAGAAGGCCCATCATATCCTTTCTTTTTTGTTTTTTTAGCAGTCTTCTTTGGACTTTTTTACCTATCTAGACACCTCTGATCTGAGTTGATTTTGCTCCTCAACTATGCATTTATAGATTTTCTTTTGACATGTCTAATCAACTTTAAACTTCCCATCACGAACGATAATCTTTTCTATCAATCCAAACACTTCTCATCTTAAAATACTCGTATTTGCTACAATGTCATCAAAAGTTTGGTTTCATAACTGCTCCTGTTTCTGACCCATAGAACACACCTAGTGATATAATTGTTTTCTTTTTAAAAAATCTAGTAGACATGCAATAATTGCACATAATTCAGATGCATGTCCATTTTAACCATCAAATTACAATTTCTTTTTGAATTAATCTCCTCGTTAATTAATAGTCCAAGTCTCAAAACTATAAAAAAACTTAATACTTCATAAAATTCTATAGCCAGATCTTCTCCTGTTTTACATCCTCATTAGATAATAGTCCAAATAATAACATTTCAATTTTGTTGTTTATGGATTAAAACTGTACACATGCTTCTTTTAACTGTGTTATATTCTGTCAAACCATAAATAATTATAGCCCTTAGCTTCTAAAATTTGTTTCCATAACTTTGGTCTAGGTTGTCTCGACTCTACTCCCAACTAAGAATTTAAGACCATGTCATCAACAAACATTAAATGTTTAGTAGATATTTACATTGATCCTCTCATTGGCCCTCTCCAGACCCCGCATGGGGTACATTTCTTTTTTAAGCATTACAAGTACAAACACGTAAAGAACTCAGAGTTAGACTTTAGTGAAGTACATCGGTGACTGAGAATTCATTGGCCTTATAATTACACTACCAACTATCCTTCACTCGTATAACAATCACATCATTATGAACACAAGCAGTTATGTTAATAAATATAATACATCTATACTTTCTACTAATGCAATTATCACTACATTACAAAAATTGATGCATGTATGCTATGAAATCAGAAGCAATAAATGCATCAAAAGGAAAAAGGGTTTAGTATTGGTGAGAGCAGTGTAACTTTACTAAATACACATGCATAACACAACATATCCAGAAGCTTATGTGCTCAAAAATATCTGTCTGTATCCATAAGTGTGTGCTTGTCTAGAATCTTTTATTGGTTGCTTATAACTCTACAAGTTGGAGCAGGTGCATACCTGTACATCAGAAACTGCTAAAAGGTGCTCAACCGAAGGCATGATCTCTGCCTGTCAAGAAATTTCGTTTATTATGCAACTAATAGCAATCATCTACAACCATAACATAGCAAACAACCATATTGTATCAGTACCTTTGGCTCATGATGCACAGTATGAAGTAAATCAATCAACGGATGTTCAAATAGTGTGAAACACCGATCCTCACAAAATGCTACAAGAGGAACCTCATGTTCCAAAGAGTAAAGAAAAGCCTGCAGTTAAAAAGCATCAACATACAGTAGATGAAACAAAACTAAGCCTGATATGAATTTCCTACAGTAAGGCAAAATGTATCCACCAATAAAAATATTCAAGTGTCAAACTCTAAGCTGCTTCGATGGAATAAATGACCAAGAACCAAAGAGTGAGATGACAAAAATAAAAAAAAATCATCATAAGCAAACGTAGTCAAGTTCAAGCAGGTTTATTCTATATTCCTTCAAATAAATTTCCTTGTTTGATATGTAAATTGGTGAGAGGCACTTATTCATATTATTGAATGATATATATTTTGACATGGAAACATGTGAAGGAACACATACTAAAGAAGATGCAAGTCAACAAAGTAATAAAAGACACAAATACCTATTAGCATATATTTGTGCCTTTTAAACAATTGAAATATAAATTAATAAATAGCTACCTCTCTACAAATATTCTTATCTACACTTGCTCTGTAAATCTCTTGACCTCGTCTCCCATATACAATAGAACCCTGAAATTCAAGACAAGTATGACAAAAAAGAAAGCGAAGCACATCAGGTTGACTTTATAAGGCAAATATTGTAGCTAAATAATTTTTGGAGAGAGAGAATCAGAATATCATGATGGGACTTAAAACAAATGTGATCCTAGTAAATATGGATGAGTAAAAAGTGTGCATAACATCTACAAAGACATTAAAAGAAAGATGTTCACCAAAACAAATTTAGGAGCTTATATATTTGATCAATGGAGAGGGTGGGAGACCATGCTTGGTACAATGGTAAGGTTGTTCCTCTGTGACCTAGGAGACTAGGATTCAAGTCACAAAAACATCCTCTCTATATTTAGAGCTTACCAATGCCATCTACACCTGCTACAAGTTAATCTCTACAATCTCGTAGAGCTTTCTTCTATTAATGCACACTGTAATGAATCAACATCCCGTTCCATAACCTGCTGCAAGCTGTGCTCAGTGTGAAGGCTGGCCAACCAATTCCTTTGTCAGTCCTCAGTAGGGTCGGGGATGGGGTCAGCTTTAGCAGTTGGTCACCCTTGCTAGGGGCCAGTAGGCCTTCTCCAGTCCCCAAATCCCAGACCAGACAGGGTTTAGCTGCCCTCATTGAATCTCCATCTTATGTTAACATAGAAATTCCAATTTGATTTGATTTTCCTAGTAACATCACAATTATCTTGACTAGGCTTATTTGCTGCTGGACTGCTAACCTTCTCCTTTTGCAATGACAGGGTTTAGCATGAGCCAAAAGTACTAGCCCTCAAATTCATATGTACAAGTCCATTTTCCCATATCTTTCGATGTGAGATAATGGAGATCTCACAATATAGTATAAGCGAACTATTATCAACATGACCACAATGAGAAAGAGTAGTGATATACATATTTCTAATGACATCTTTTGAAATTGAAACCATAATTAAGAGCTAATGAAGATCTAAATACATGTTTGTAAGACTATTATGGTAAGTCTTGGAAAGCACTTTTAAATCCAATTAAAAAACCATCATGAGCATTAAATTTGAACTGGTATCATATGACAAAAAAAAAGTTCAGGGGATTGACAAAACATGATAGTTCTATTTCAGTCTAATCAAGAGGTCTGAAATCATTATGTGATTCATAAAACCTTTGGCAAAAAAAAAGTTCAGCAGATTGGCAAAACATGATAGTTCTGTTACAGTCTAATCACTAGGTCTGAAATCATTATGTGATTCACAGTAGAAAAGACAAGAAACCTGTAGAAAAATGCCAGGTGATGCTTCTGATACAATACCATCTTTCCCTGCCAAATTAGCCAAACTTGAAGCTCTTATAACTGCTGACCGGGTCTGCTTCGTATACAGCACACAAACAATGCAATTAGAATCACTTAAAAACAATAAAACAGTAACAGACAGCAATAACGAGAATGAGGATCGTCGTATGCAAGGTCATGGAATGATGTTGTATGCAACCTTATCAATAGAGCAGAAAGGCTGTTTTCAAGACACAAATGATTGACATCTGAGTTACAAACACTTTGACCATGGCGCTAACAACAGCTTTAAGGCTGTTTCCAAGACATGAACAGTAGACACAAACCACAAAGACCTCAAACATAGTGCCAAGGTTCACCCTCTAAGTCATTTGCTTTCACCAAATCAAATTGTTCAGAATTAATAAAAAGATATATATGAAGCAATTCAGAAGTCATAATCGAATCAGTGGCTTTACAACAAAAAAATAGTACTTAGAGCAATGGATTGAACAGTTAATTTTCCACAGGTAAGTACTCGTCAGTAGAACTGAAATTAAGCTTTAAACAGTGTAGAGCTTGCTAGCAAGTACTTGTCTCTAACATGAAGGCCCCAGAACTAAAAATAAAACATGGAGTTAGAATCCAACCATTCTAGTAACGATGACTACTTTTGCTCCCCTTGAGAGTGCCTCTCTCATAGCCTCTGCCATTCTTGTATTGATTTGACTTTTACCATTGAAAAGTGTATCTTTTGTCATAGGAACTTGTTACAAAAACTGAAGGCACACGCACAAAAGCAAGAAAAAAAAACAGGAAAAGACAAAAAATGTGCTGAAAGCCATGTTCATACCATCCACGTCACAGAACATATAACTCAATTTTGCTTCATATAATCCTGAATGGCCTTCCATTTTCACATTTTTCACAAGTTCTGCAAAGATCTATACTTGCATTGGTACTTCATAATTTCTTGCACAGATGTGTAACACAACAGTGCAATTAGAGCATGTTCATTTGGTAAAAATCAAGATTATAGAACATAAACTACATACCATTTGGGCTGCTTGTTGAATGACTTTCAGCAGTTCTGGAATTATTTGTACTCTTAATTAGACCTTTTCCTTTCCATCCAAGATTCCTAAGAATTAGCTCTTCTTCCTTCTCCATTTCAGCTTCAGCTTCATGACTGATCTCATGATCAAAGCCCAAAAGATGCAGCAAACCATGAACCTATCCAAAAATTGTAGTTGATACAACGGATGAAGGTTAAATTACACATCTGTAATATATGAGCATGCAAGAGATGAAAATTCAGATGGTAATGCACAAATTATGACTATGGTGCTGAGAGGCCAAACAGATGTGCCAAAGATATATAGAAACTTTTTGGTCATGAACAGAAAACATAAAAGTCAAAAGGGGGAAAAAAGGCAATTGAAGATTCGAACAGTACTCTTCAAAAAAGAAAAATTCATGTGGTTAAACCATGCAATATCAGCTATAACAAGCATAAAAACCCAGAATGGAAAGAAGTAAAAAATAGCAAACCAACCATGAGGACCCGAATTTCATCAAGAGGTGTATAGCCTCTTTCCTGTGCTTGCCTGGAAGCTGTTTCCAGAGAAATTACTATGTCACCTAATAAAAGCTGAAACAGCACAGTTAAACAATCAAGAAAAATTCATAACCAGTAGAAACAGCAAGAAATATGATGGTGTCTCACAATGGGATGGCCTAGTTCAGGGATATGTTGTGACATGGACAAAACATCAGTGGTCTGGTCCACATCCCGCCAATGCTTATTTAATTTCTGGATAAAACCATCATCACAAAGCAATACTGATAACTCAACTTTTTCATACTTGTTAACATCATCTATAGAAGTATCTCTTGTATTATATTTCGAAGTTAATAAACCATCAAGTGCAACTTTCAGTGCAACAGGAACGTCAGACCGAAGTGTCTCTGCAACGCTCTGCATACAGAAAATAGATTTTCATCAGCATATGAGATAGAACGTGCATAGTCCACCTGGAAAATGGCATGAACTGCATCACAGGAAAAACCAAATATATATATATATATAATTTAATTCACAGACAAATAAAAATATCCACATTAAAAGGATATGATCATCAAATAGTCTAGCTGATCATTGTTTTTCCTCCAATTGCAGAATATATGACAAACACTAAACAAGGACAATATAAATTGATAAAGACTTAAATATTCCACTTGATTATCTTACTCTGTGATAGCATTGCAGGGGTGTCATCCACAATTGAAAAAAGGATACTGTGAAGATGGATGACCATGGAAAAAGTAGACCTGACATTTAACAAATCCATTAAAGATTCTTTACTTATGTTCCCTCCAAATCATCTAATAAAAATGTCAAGATTGTGCATTAACTCTTAGAAATGATGTTATGCACAGCATCCTTTTCTGATGTAAGCAAATTAAAATGACAAAATGAAAAGTACATGCATACAAAGTTCCCTGTAACCTACTACCATATTTCATGCCCCAAAATTCACGGGTCAATAAAACCAAAGTTGAAAGCATTGATATCATTATCAACAACAATGATCGTAGAAAACGAAAAGAAAGACATAGATTTTGTCATATGGTCATAACAATTCATTTCACATGTCAAACAGTCTATAAGAAGCCACAAGAGGGACCCTTAGATGCTCCTTGCCGTCAAAACTTGAAAATTGAAACCAAATCGCTGGAACAACATATAGATGTTTTGACTGTTGTAACAAATAAACGATTTATATATCGGCATTAATAGATGCTTTAAGGACAAGTCCTTTTATAGTTTCATGGTGGATGGTGAATTGCGTGAAGCTACATATAAGAGAATTTGTTTTGCCAGGATACTAGAAAGCAAACAAGTTCTCCTTTAAGCTGGTTGGATTGTCCAAGGACCTATCATAGACCTTTTTTATTGCAGGTGCCTAAATTTCTCCAAACCTATGGCCATGTGAGTGACACCTTAGGAGATCTATGAAAATGTTTTCTATAATTGAACTTTGTCGATCGATGGATGGGACTTATTATGCACTTATCACCGTCATTCACCACAGACATGGTTTATGTAACTACCCTGTTGATACCAAGGAAACAAGGTAATATTCTTTGGTAATAATTCTTTAAGAACAATTAGCAGTCTATGACCAGGATTATCAGAGACGCTATGAAGATCATCGAGAACAGCCAACGGACTACGGTCAGGGTTGTCAGAGACGCTATAAAGATTGTCGTAGCATTCACCCTCCTATAATCGTATTGTCTATATATCGCTCCCTTTCTTCTCCACTGTCACTAACAAATAAGGGCAAACTTGCAATCCGTTTCAGCAAAAGATGCAAACTATCCCCTAAACACGGCATAAACTTGAAAGCTAAAAGAACAAAGAAACCCGAACATTACCAAAATCTGAGGATCATCGGGTAATTCCTCTTCGATGCAAATCCTGACGTCGAGTTCCAACGGCTTCTTCTTCGGCAGCCGGCCCCTCCGCCTAACGTTCCTATAACCCCGGGTAAAGGCCGGCACCAAAGAGCACGAACTGTCGGAAAGGGACCGAAATCCCCTGGCGGAAACATTAGAGAAGAAGGCAGGGAGGGGAACCGAATGTGAAAGGGGAGAAAGAGTGGGGGGAGGGCTCGGAGGCCGCGCCGTCCGGCGCCATGAGGAAGCGCCGGCGAGAGGCCGCGGACGACGACTGGCGCATCGGGAGGCAAGGGGAAGAGTTTTCGCCACGAACCTCGCCATGTCCGTCATCAGGAATCGACCAAAGCTAAAGAAACCCACCGAGCAGCGGATGTTTAGTGTTACTTAAACAATACTAATATATTATTTATAGGCCAATTTCTCGAACGATACATTTATTTTTCAGAAATAGCCGCTAAGTTTTGGGTCGCTTTTGATACAGTCGCTCATGTCACATGTGTTGTTGGTCAACAGATGTACTGGGACTGATGACTCAGCACGGCTCGGGTCGGAAGTCTTCGATCGATTAAACTGGATGCCAAGATCGATCGGGCCCTCATGACGGGGGTTGATTAGTGTTTCTCGGTCCGGGCATCGTCTATGCTGAGCCGCGTCTCTCCGTGTCTCCAGGGTGGTTACCGGTTCATCTTCGTACACTAGATGGCGATTCCCGGGTTGAGACGCTCGTGGCTCGAGGGTGGTCGCTTGCCTGCAAAAATAACCTTTGTCGGGTGATTCCGACTTTGGCCCCGTCAACGAGCAAGTCGGTAATTAGTTCTCATCTTGTTTTTTTTCCCTCTTTTTTCTTGGCACGATGCCGGCCAAGGGTTTTATACTATTGTACGAGGGTCAATCGCATGCAGGCTCGGCGTGACGGTTGATCCTCAAGGGATGAGACAGTACTGTGCGGTCATTGTTCCGGGACATGCGGAACGACGCCAGACAACGCTGTCTCCGTACATGCCAAAGTCTCGGTACGGATTTTGACTCGTGTGAGTGCTCTCCTTGCTAATTCGGTTGTAGCGCGGCATGACATCGGTTGTAACGTGTCCTAAACCCAAAATATACCTTATCGCAAGATTTATAACACAAGGAGAAGACGTAATTAGAACGTATGTACTTCATGTTCGGTCTTAATTATGAATATATTCGCTAATTCCTTTAAATCAGTGAACATGTTAAAAGTGATAAACCAGGAAATCATTATAAGCTACCGACTGCAATTGTGTGCGACCAAAAAGTCGTCGTATATATGCTGATTAAGTAAAAATGAATTTGTTTACCCATTTTGTTAATAAAGTTCTAAGATTAAATCTTACATTCATTTAAAATTTTATATTTTTATCCAAAAAATTAAAGGTATTAAATAACTTAGTAGATAAAAATACTCGATTGTATTTATAATTTATTACAGTAGATTTTGGTTGTCCAATATATCAAGAGTTTGGAACTAATTTGATGATTATTAATGAACAATTCGAAAAGTGGTGAAGCATAGTAAGCTAACTAGATGGAGAGAGATGGAAAGATCACCTATGGAGCTATTTTATAATGAGTTTGGATAATGATTGGAGCTAAGTAGGAGAGAGATTAATCAATTAGATAGCCACGTAGAATCATCAATTATCACTGAATCACGGAGGAGTGCATCGAACCACCAAAATTTTTTTTGATAAGTGATGAAGATTCAAGCTCAAAACTTTATAATAAATCATCATTATCTATGTCAGCTAAGTTAGCAAGAACATCACAATATTACAATCATATCGAGTCAATGTTGACATGAAGGAATCGATCGATCAACGTATCGACTTGTTAGGGTGCGACATGTCATGAGATTTTCTACGTGTCAAAACTATTGGTTAAAGATAAAATATTTTATAAAAAAATACTTTAGGTAATTATAGTATTTACTTTAGTATTTTTGGGTCTTATATAAAATGTCTTAAATAATACAGTAATTGTTCGACTTTGAAAAGAAATTAAGGTACCTTGTGGCGTTATTCCAAATAAGAGAACTGAGCAACGTCTCAGGAGAATTGAGTTTAACTGCAACGAGACTCCACAACACCAACCGTAAAAAGCTACACACGGAATTCCACTGCCATAATGCTATGAAATCATGCTTCAATGTCAACATTCAAATCATAACAAGAAATCAACAGTTACATGGTTCAGGAATTGCCTCTGGGGAAAGGAACTCTACATCTGGTAGCCTCCCAAAATTGTTAGCCCCTTGAGCCTAATCCACCTTTCTCGTGTCGCACCATGTAATCAAGCAGAAGGGAATCACCTAGGAAGAACAGCAACCTCTCTTTGCAAAACCTCCAGCGGAATCAGACACATTAATCGTCATCCCCTGGGAGGGAACTGTTCCTGCTGCCTCCTGTGCGGCGAGAGCCTTCCGGCTAATTATGTTGTAAATGTCCGTTAGAATGGTCTGAAATGCCTTATCTATGTTGAGTGCTTCCAAGGCCGATGTTTCCATAAAAGACAGCTCTTCCTTCTCAGCTAACGTCTGGGCTTCATCCTCTGAAACTGCTCTCAGATGCCTCAAGTCTGCCTTGTTACCGACCATCAATATCACAATGTTGGAGTCCGCATGGTCCCTGAGCTCACGAAGCCACCTTTGGACGTTTTCAAAAGTTTGCTTCTTTGTTATGTCGTAGACGAGGAGCGCTCCCACTGCACCCCTGTAGTAAGCGCTGGTAATGGCACGGTACCTCTCCTGACCGGCCGTGTCCCATATCTGTGCCTTGATTGTCTTCCCCTCTATCTGTGTTTGTGCAATCAAAGAATTGCTTCATAAAAAAGTGAGCATGCCTCATGCAAACGTTGACTCAGTGATCACATCTTAAGAGCGAGGCTTTTCAACATGAATTGAAACTACTAAAGAGAAGGCTTTCAATATGTACTGACGATATCAACCTCTGTATGAAGAAGCCAAGAACATCTTAATTTTCGCACCCATCAATCCACAAGATGAAATCCCAGAGAAAAAGGTAAAACCCATGCATAGGTAAACCAGCAGCAATGTCAGAAACTCCTATGGGTGTTCAGAACAAGAACTGAACGATATAAGTAATCAGGCAACAACAATGAAACACCCCTCACAATAAACTTAGCTTAGCTCAGCTAAGGACAACACCTCATCTTCTTTCAAGGACATCCTATAATTTCGAGGGAAACTCCACAACACTGAAACAAAAGTAAAAAAAGAAAGAAATCTTTCCTCTATCTGGTTCACTAATTTAAACCAAAGATTTTCTTTGGGTAACCTTGCATTTGTCAAATTATTACATCCAACATTGTCATTAACACAAAGGCCGCATTAACCTGACCTCAGGAGTGCAGAGCTATTCTTTTGACCCTAACAGAAGGCCAGGAAGGAGTTCTACTCAAAATGTCCACATTAAATATAGAGCTCACAAATATGTGAAAGCACTTTTGACTGCAATTGACTGGAATGATCACTGATCTGCTCTTTGGATTACCTCAGGCATGATTCTATGAAGATTCATAATGTTTCAAGATCAGGTCCCGAGAAGATCGACTCAAGCACATGGAGGATCTCATGTGTTCTTCCACCATGCGCCGTACAACCCTTCCATCCTATGAATCTAGACTAGACTCCATAAATTAAAGTTAATTCTAGCTTAAGAATCTTGATAATGCCTATTGAAGTGATCTCTGGTCTCACGTATGACCATAACTCATTATAGGCAAACCTCATGTATGACTACAGGACCTGATAAATATCTCCTAGCTCACTAAATGCTGCAATAGTTCATCTAGCCCGCAATGCCATTAAGCAATAACCTCATTGTACGACCACAAGATCCAAGAAATCCCCTTAAGCTCGCTTGCTCATTAGAGGCTGCCATAATTCATATAGCCTAGAATGGATTTTAAGGGTGAGTGAATTATGTAGGAACAATTTGTTGAGCATGTTGAGGGTAAGTCATGAACCCTTGCTGGAAAGGCTTTCCGTAAACATTATAAGAACATTAGAATGCATGCAGTTCTGCAATATATCACAATATATCAAGAAATCCTAAATCCAGAACTGAGAATGAATCGAGTTCCAAGAAGAGATCAGATGGTGTGCAGAATCAAGCAGGATTAGGGGGCAGTGGGAAGGACGCCAATTGATCACCTGAAGGGTCCTGGTGGCGAACTCGACGCCGATGGTGGACTTGGATTCCAAGCAGAACTCGTTGCGCGTGAACCGGGAGAGGATGTTGGATTTCCCGACGCCCGAATCGCCGATCAGCACGATCTTAAACAGATAGTCGTACTCGTTGTCCACCCGGTACGCCATTTCTCTTCCTCAATCCGCCTCCTCCTCCTCCTCCTCCTCCTCTCTATAACATGAATTCAATCCATAAACCCGAAAAAAAAAGACAAAAACCACAACATAATCGATAGAGACACAAGGCGCAAAGAGATCAAAATTGGATCAGAAAGGGGAGGAGTAAGCGACCTGACACGAGATGCGATCAAACGAAGGCCGAGAAGTCGATGCTTCTGAGGGGGAGAGGAGATCGGAGAGGAGGAATAACAGGGCACCCAAGGAATTGGGGGGGCATTTGAACGTCGAAACCGCCTTTTTTTTAGGGCCATTCATTTATACACCTCTCTTTAACGCGGTCCAACACCATGCTTAAAACTTGAGACCGAAGCCTACCAATACCTCCGCTGACCGTTCCCTTCTATCACAAGAGCCGTTGTTACATGACCGCCTTATATTATTATTCTTATTATTTCCGTTTAATTCGTAAGAAAGTGATATCACGTATATATGATCGCTCGCTCATTTGGGTGGATAACTCATTCATGTAATTGCAATTTGAGTTTGGTGATTCATTGCAAAATTCAAATCACGATCAGATCTAATCTCAACTAACGCAAATGGGCTTTTTCTTGTGGGTCGGACCGTCGGGTTGGAGACCGGTTTCTAGCGGGATCCGATAGAACAGATCCGATCCGTTTACACCCTCTGCATAAGTCTCCGGGAGGGAGGAGGGTTCACATTGGTGGTGGCGTCGAGAGGATGGAGACTGGGGAGGAGAACACGAGGAAAGAGGAGACGGTGAAGTTGATTAGCGCCGAGGGCTTCGAGTTCGTCATCGACAAGAAGGCTGCCATGGTCTCCCAGACCATCCGCAACATGCTTACTTCCCCAGGTCGGTTTTGATCCTTCCCCTTCCCCCTTCTTCTTCCTTCGCTCGTCCTCCTCCGCCTTTTCTTCTTCTCTTTCGATCGTTCTATTATCTGATGCTGATGTCGAGAGCGATCGCGAAATAAGTTGTCGTCTATTTGTGGGCGCGCAGGTGGATTCGCGGAGACGCAGCACGGGCAGGTGACCTTTCCGGAGATCAGCACTCCTATCCTCGAGAAGATCTGCCAATACTTCTACTGGTCCCTCGAATACTCCAGGTTGCCATCCTTCCCACTTTGATTTCTTATTAGTACGCGTTGTTGTTTTTTCCTTTCCTTTTTCTTTTGGGTCGACGAAGTTCATCAAATTTAAGGGTTTCAAGATCCCAATCTATTTTACTTCTAAATTAAGAATAACTAATTGCTTATTTGCTCGCCATGGATTTGCTTCTACTTCTTGCCAATTGCACTGACGATTGATTGATGTGAGCCGACATAACTTCTTCTAATTTCATAGAATTAGTCTTCTTCTATGATTCTTCATCAAATATTATCGTTATGAGGTATCACTTATCAATTAACTTTTAAGATTACTCAGAAATTTAGTACAAGCCAAAGCGGTCTTAAATGCATGGCTGCTTTAGGTTGCTAACCCACTAGTCCATACCATATGCTTAATAGTTCTTAAATAATAGGCTTTTTGATGCTATCTCTTTTTTTCCCCAAAACAATAAGCAGCAGTTTTGAAACAGTGTATTGATTGTTGTGGAATCAAATCTCTTTCTTGGATGCTTGATATCTAAGCTAATGGACATGTATCTGATAGTTTTCTCCATAGTCATGTCGCAGAATCCTTAATCGTCCAAGCTATACTATGGATTTGCCCATTCATATGTAACCCCTATTCACTATACATGGTTTCAAAAGAAAAAGGACAGTGTGTTCCTTTCCTTGAGTATAATTGGAAAGGATCTTTTTTAGATTCCTGGTTTAACTTTTGTTTTGATGATATTGCATAGACTTTCATAATATTATACCATTTCCTGATTGATATCTTAGGTCATTTGACATAAGATTAGGTACAAATAATTGATTATATATAAAAGACTTTAAGAGATTCCATGGTTATGGAGGATGAGATAACAAATCATTAAGAGACTCATGTAACGAGCTTATAGTTGATATGTTCCATTGAAAATTTGCCTATTTCTGGCATTGCACAATCATTGAAGTATAGTTTGTCAGGTTCTCTATGCACCTTAGATATCAGTTGCTTTGTTCCTAATGAAATTCCATATTGCTGACAGCACTAAGATTGGCCTTTCAATTTGACCAAAATGCTGTCTTCCTCAAGTAAAACAAAAAAGTAGGAGTGAGGGAGGGAGACTTGCCTGCTTGCTAGTTACTACAACCTTTTTTTCTTTCACATTAGCAGCTCTGTAATTTTTTTCCATCTAAATACTATCAGAATCTAGTGTTGAACATATTCACAACTTCTCTGAGGACCGTCTATTGACACTGTATGTCTTACATATTACTTGTCATCCATTCCATGGTTCACTTGTTATTGTGACAAGTGAGAGCAATTAAGTATTAGGTTGTTATTTATTTTATATTTGACCAGCCGGTCAGCATATTGTTGTTTGTGGTTTCACTTTCATGCTTGGGTAGTGCATTAACAGAAACTGTTGTTGGTCATTGCACAATCTATTTATTCCGTCATATTTCCTTTTCATCTAATCCTCCAATATGGTTCCTAGGATACTTGAGTTTATTCACAGAATGGTGACCATCAGTGACCTTTCCGAATCCAAATTGCAGCCATTTTTGTACCAAAGTAATAAAGATAGAGGAGTACTTGGTTTGAACTATTTACACTCGTGTTCTCTATTGTTGGGCCGATGGGTAATAATGGAGTCTTATTTCAGAAGGAAATTATCATAACTACTTGTCATATAGTTTTCCTTTCTCTTTTCTTGTCAAGTGAGCTTTAATTCTAATGAACAGGAATATTCACAACTAAGCATGCATATGGTAACACTCAAAGAAAATAAAAAACAAATCACATGTCATTAAGGTTTTAAATCTCCATTTGATAATGGTCTTGGCAACTAACCAGATGGGTATGATATCAGTGTTCCAACCTGTACCATCTGATCACTGAATATATTGTGTGTGTGTGTGTGTGTGTGTGTGTGTCCAATCCTTTGACTGGACCAATATATACCAGCCAGTATGAACTGTGTGTGTATATCAATGGGTATCAACCTATATGGTCCAATCCTTTGCTGGACCAATATGAACCAGTCCAACTAGAACTTGATTTTTTGCTTTTTGTTGTGTATTGTACATAATATTCCCTCTCATATCTTGGGATTCTCTTATACTATTTCATGTTACCATAGCAAGCTTTTTTTTCTTGGATGTTTTTCCAAGTTTCCATAATATTAAAGAACTTAAGTCTGTTAGAATCCCATAATGCTTTATAATCTGTATGTTGAATCATGACAGATCTAATTTCCTCTAAGATGCTTTTACAATGTGCACAAATTGATGGTCCAACACGGTCATCTTTCTTATATTGTGCTGTTTCTGTCAGAGAACATTCAGTAATCATCTGCAATTTATAGATGGCTAATCTTTCAACTAATCATATTCAGTATGAAACACAAAGCTGTCTTCAATCACCAAGTCTCCTAGACAAATACTTTTATGTTGATTACAAAGAGGTAAGGTGACATTGAATAGCTTTTTCTATTTTTCCCATGGAAATAACCTACCATAGTACCTATGACAATATTTCATAACTTAGTGATAGTGACATACGTCATAATCAGTTCAGTTGTCACATTAGGGAACTCCAAATAACTAATATTTCTTTTAAAGAAAATAATCTGAGCCCTAGCCTTGTCTTAAACTTTAGTGGTGTATCTTGAAATCTTAGATACTCTTTTGTTACTTTGCTCTTATTCTATTCTATGCAATCCTTATTTCATGAATGAAAGCTAAGTGGTTCTTCTTAAAAACCTTGTGAATAATTCTTTAGTTCTGCTAGTAAACAATTATATTTTTGAATAGAATATTTATCTCACTATAAAAAAGTGAGAAAGATCCTGGTGTTACATTTTGGTTATAATACTAATCAGATAGTATCATCAAGAATTCTATATATGTTTGGGTATTGTTTATGTGTTTGAATATTATGTTTGCCCAACATGTTGGACTCATTTCATTTTTATCCTTTTTTTTTTTTTTCTTTTGGTGACTTCTAAGAATAAGAATTCCACTCATTTTTGGTTGTTGTTCTTGGCAGTGGAAAAGAGACGGAGTTTCACATTGAACCCGAGATTACGTTGGAGTTGATGATGGCTGCTAACTATCTTCACACTTAAGGCGTTAATGCCCATGTAATCATTGTACCAATCTCGGTTTGGTACATACTACTGTTTTGCTCATATATATATTTATATACTGTACCTAGTTGGCGTACAAGTTCTCTAATCTTCTCTTTGTTATGAAGACCAAATCATAGTTCATAGTGACATGCCATTTTAGGTGGTTGAATGTTGCAGTAGTTTAATTGAAGTGCTCGAGATAAGCTTTAGACTTGGCCAATGCTTTTCTTAATTTCTTAATTTTCTTTTGATTTACTACTGTACAATCTTTTTTATGTTCATACTGTTACAAGTGCATTACATGGATCCATATCAATATTGATGTTATCTCCACAATTTGGAGAAATCTGTCATTACGTAAATAATCACATAAGCTGTAGTGCTACGGCTGTGGTTGTGATTCAGCATATGGGTTCGGATCTCTATCGGATCCGATCCTTGGTGCGGCTACTGACTCACCCTCCTTTGTACATCCATGTGATGACGTGGAGGCTCGACATTAGTTGGAATTGCATTTGGCAGTGGCAGATTCTGTTTCCAACTTTAGTTTTGAAATGGACTCGATCAAACACGAGCCAAATGTTCTTTCTCCTGTTTCAACTTTGAATTGGACTCGATCGTCGCACAATCTCGGGCATCAAGTGATCAAAAGATAGGAGTTTCTTTACCGCGAACCCCTCCTTTTGGTCTCCGTTTCCGTTCAATATTTGACCGTCGAGAATAAGATTTGAAAGCCCGTGGCGCTTCTCTCTCCATCTCCCAGATAGAGTTCATGTATAAGATCCAGCTACGGTTATCATTGGCCATCACCAACCCTCACCGAGGAGTCCCCACGGTCGTCCTCTCGTTGCTCTTCCTTTTGCCGATTGCAGAAATGGTCACCTTCTTTAGGGGCCAGACTAGTCCCTCCTCCAGCAAGCAAGCAAGCAGGCGGAGAGGACCCCAGGAAGCACTACATCTTCCCCTCGGCCAACTTTAGCCAACCACCGCCCTCTCGGTGTCAGGACTATTAAGCGTGGGCTTTGTGTGTGTCTGAGATCACCGTGATTGTTGGGGAAAAGGCTCGCAATGGAGGATTCCGTGGAGAAATGCGGTGACAGGGAACAACCTCTCGATTACGTTGGCCGAGAGCGCAAGATCATGCTGAGTTACTCGACGGAAGACGAGCGTTGCGTGAGCAGTTCAAGCTTTGAGACCTCGCCAGGCGAGGACGCACGAGGCGCGAGCGGCTCTGAGGAATCGCTGCCGCCGTCGGTGCCATCGAGTTGGCCGACGCGGAAGTCCTCGGATTCTGATGCATACGCGGATGATGAAAGAACCGATTCGAATGATGCGAAAGCTGATAAGCTCAGAGGTTGTGCCTCAGGTGCTTTGCACGTTTCATATGGCAAACAGGCAACTAACTAGTTATGTTTAATGCTGCTATTTTATTTGCTATCTCGTGCACATTCTGATCCGCTTACAGCTTTGTATTTAGTTTACCCAATCCTATTAATTATCCGGTCGGTCATCGTCTCAGATTTTTGTGGTGTTGTTTTTGGGATTCGGTTAGATATTGAGTTGATGAAGGAGAGGTTTTCCAAACTGTTGCTGGGAGAAGACATGTCAGGCTGCGGGAAGGGAGTATGCACTGCACTGGCAATCTCCAATGCCATCACCAATCTGTGCGGTAAGCGCGCTGTGGTTTCTGGCTTCTTCTCTTCTTCTCGGTAGAGAACTTCACCTGACGCAACTTGTTCTTCTGCAGCCACGGTGTTTGGGCAACTCTGGAGGTTGGAACCTCTGCCTCCCGAAAAGAAATCCATGTGGCGAAGGGAGATGGAGTGGCTTCTTTGTGTTAGCGATCACATCGTGGATCTGATGCCCTCTTGGCAAACATTTCCTGACGGGAGCAAGCTCGAGGTACATGCTGTTCTTGCTCCGCTCTTCTGGCTATAACCAGAACGAACCTTGAATGCATCTGTCAGAAAGAATCCATCGTCTATAATCTCAACAGCCTAGCTTATAGTAAATACACTGGCATTGGACTTGATGGCATGATGATTTAACTTTTGTGAGTGCTTATGTTGTTAGCCCTCTGAATTCAGGTCATGACTTGCAGACCAAGATCAGATTTGTACATCAATCTGCCAGCACTGCGAAAATTAGACAACATGCTTCTCGTGAGAATCCTTACATGTATGAATGATATCAGACTTCAAGAGGGTGCTCTCACTGATTTTTTGCTTTCTGCAGGAAATACTAGATAGTTTCAATGATCCCGAGTTTTGGTATGTTGATCAAGGTATAGTGGCACCGGATTCTGATGGCTCGGCCTCTTTCAGAAGAACACTTTTCCGGCAAGAAGAGAAGTGGTGGCTACCCGTACCTCATGTTCCACTTGATGGTCTTCATGAAAACACAAGAAAGCAGTTGCAGCACAAAAGAGAATGTGCAAATCAGATTTTGAAGGCTTCAATTGCTATTAACACTGATACTTTGGCAGAAATGGAGGTTCCCGAAACTTACCTTAGTTCGCTTCCCAAGGTGTGCTCTCCTCCTCCTCTATCGAGTATAGTTCTCCATCCATTGGCTTCTCCTCGTGTTAGATCCTGAATTGATGGCATGGCTCTGATTCACAGAATGCAAGAGCGAGCTTGGGTGATTTGATGCATCGTTATGTTACTTCGGATCAGTTTTCGCCTGACTGTCTTCTCGATTGTCTTGATTTGTCCTCCGAACACCAAGCTCTGGAAATCGCAAACCGTGTCGAGGCATCAACGTACATTTGGCGTCGAAGAAGGGTGGCCAGACCTGTAAGCAACAGGAATGGCATCGCCACCACCAAATCATCCTGGAGAACCGCCGTCAAGGACATGGTTGTGGATGCTGCAGGAAAAAGAGAATTATTTGCTGACAGAGCTGAGACTATCTTGCTCTGCCTGAAGCAGAGGTTTCCTGGTCTGACACAAACCGCACTGGATGTGTGCAAAATCCAGTTTAACAAGGTTTGTGTGCTTTGCAATTACTCTCCCCCTTTCAATTCCGACCTTAGAAGCATTGATATTTCATGTGGTTGAATCTTTAGGACCTCGGGAAATCCATTCTTGAAAGCTATTCCAGAGTTTTGGAGAGCCTTGCATTCAACATTGTTGCTCGCATCGATGAACTGCTGTACGTAGACGACTTCAGCAAGAATTCAGACCACCTGTTGGATTCCAGAACCGGTGTCATCGCCCACCAGAAAGCATCATTTCCATGCTCGGCGCCTACTTCAGACACTGCATTTGCGAGTGCTCATTCCGCACCAGGTTTCTCGCCTGCACCGTTAATTAGTTCTACGAGGGAAGAGAGCCCTGTCTTCGTCGACGGTAAGTCTCATAACCATGGATTTGGTGTGAAGAAAATATTGACGAATTATCTCCGTGTAGAGGTGAAGGGAAAAGGCTCTGTCAATGTTGGTTCGGGCAGCAGAGTCGATTTCATGCATGAACACTGAAGCCTAGGAAGCATCTCGAGAACAGAACTCAAGAGAGCAGAGAGGGGCTCGATACCATGAATCCAGAGTCATCACGAGTACTCTGGTTCTATATAGATTGTAACTTTCTTGGCGTGGTGGCTGGTGATTAATATGTTACAGTAGACATTGCAGAGTTGGCTGGCAAACGGTTTGCATGCGTGTAGAAGTATTCTATCGGGCAACTTTGAGCTTGCAATTTTCTTGGTGTTTGGTTAGTAATCGTCGGCCTGTGCACACTGCAGAGTCGGCTGGCAAACCACTGTGGTTGCAGAGTCGGCCGACATCGCCGGGCCGCGACAGTCACTGGGCCGAGCCGGGTTGTACCGGCCCGATTCGTTTTTCTCAGATTTCAGAATTAAATAAACAGATATATAAAAAAAATAAAAAAAATAATTTTGTTCATAAATTAATAACATGCATTTTTTTAGTTTCAACCATTAAAAAATATTTATTCTAATTTTAAACTGAGTGATATATTTATATAATTATATCTTGATAACGAAGATATCGTCTGTAATATCTTTTCTTTTGGTGCTTTATATAGTGGTTCGATCATAATCCGAGTTTGATAAAATAATTAATGTATAATTTTTATCTAGTCTAAATCATTAATTAAAATATCTAAGCTAAAGTTGAGCTCACTTTTAATATAAGACTAATTTGGATATTATAATCTTCTTTACTCAAAAGGGGTACTCAAAAGGGGCGATATTCTCGTTAAGAATCAAATCTTAGTATGATTGAGGTGTAGCCCAATGATGACTTCACACGGTGGTGATGAGCCCTTTGACTCAAATATTAATTAAATCGATTTTGATACTAAAAGTTATGATCTGATAGACTAATTAAACTATTAATTTTATTATATATAAATTATTAATTAAAAATTAAAATTAAAAATTGATAATAAAATATTAGTCTCATAAAAAATTTTAATATTATCTATTTTTAATATGAATCCAAGCAAGCTCCGACGAAATAAGACCCACAGGGGATAAACACGGCCGGCCATCTCCATGGCCACCGAGAGCAATCATCCATCGTCCATGGTGATGGCACCGATCACTCGTCGTTGCTTTGCAATCATGCCATATATCCCTCGATCGAACAATCACTTGTCTCATAATTTGATGTCAGTTCCAAATAATAATCATTATGATTGCCGAAGAAGGCTACAATCAAATGATGTTGTTAACTCCTATACTTCAAATCAATGTAAACTTAATTACATGCGTACTGTGACGTGGACAGCTGGCAATAGTTTATATGGTGGGCCCCATTGGTGGAGCTATTCTTTTCCCACCTCCGTCCCTCCCCGCACACGTCTTTGTCAGGCGAGGACACACTTGTGGGGGTTTGGTTTGGTGCAGACATGAGATCACATGCTGCAGTGGCCCATAACATTGACTTCACAGTCAAAATTGTCAAGTGAACTCACTAATATATATATATATATATAATTCAATTAATTCGACTTAGTTAATGTCATTTTATGGCGACGTTAATTATTCTACGAAGATATAAGTGCGAGAGTATGCGACATTTAGATCTAACACAGAGAGAGAGAGAGAGAGAGAGAGAGAGCGGTGCGGGACCCACAGCTTTGGCGGAGTGGAAAGGGCGTGGGGGGAAGCTCCGCACGACTCGCTTTCAGCGACCTCCGCCCGTCGTTTTCTTTCCCTCCGCCAGCTGGCCTTCCACAACGATCCGAAGGCACAACAGACGCGCCTCCGCTGCTCCCGGTCCGCCCCACCGCCTCCGGTGGCTGATTCCTCCTCATCGGTAGGGACGACACCGCCTGCCGCTCTGCTTCTCCCCGCACTACTCCTATCCTTACGAAAGCGATTGCCAAGTCTCTCCTCTCTTCGCTCTCTGGTTTGATCTTGCTCCTCTCTCTTACTTTGGTCCCTCGAGGCCACGGTGAACTCTTCTCAGCGAAACAGGGAAGAAGGGGCAAAGCAGATGCACTTCTCGGGTTCTTCTCCTTTTCGGTATGGCCTCATTCTGAATCCTCCTCCTAATGGCTAGTCATGTCTACTCCCTTTCGTCTCTTGTTGCGATTCTTCTCTTCTCTTTTGTTTTCGCCCTGCTTGCTTGCCTAAACTTAGTGCCGCTTTCTTACCATTCCCCAAGAATGTAAGCATTGCCGAGTTCAGAGTATCCGGATGGCAGTAGATGCACTTCTCAGGACCAGTGAGGTTGGTGAAGAAGAAAAAAATATCTTTTTTAGGGCCTTTTTCTTTTGTTGATCGTATGCATTTGTTTGATGCGTAGTAGCAGCTCAAATCAAAGAAAAATTGTTGCTTAAAATTGAGAAACTTCATAGTCTGGAGTGATCAGAATTGGGTGATGTCCAACTTCGTTGAGCTTCTGGAGACTCTCCGTTCATCGCCTCTACAGACCCTTTTTTCCCCCTTTGGCTTGTAGATGAAATGAAATTAATTATACATGCTACAAAGCGATACACTGTAGTGAATAGTAATGGAACTCTCTCATTCTTCCTTCTTGCGTTATGGTCGGTAGTTCTTCACCAATTAAGATCACTGCGATGTAATTTTGTTCTTGAAGTGTGTCCAAATGAAGCTTCGGTCTTAGATTGATATCTCACTGTAGTAATTGTACTTTCTTTGCTCCGTAGTGATTAAGAGCAACTTATGGATCATGAACTTTCTTTGATGCAGGCAGCATTATGCACTCTTCCACTCGAAGATGTTCGCATGCGAAGCTTCTTTATCCCTCAACATGATAAAGGAAATCGGGAGCTTACACGGTCATGTTGTGAGAGCTAATCGCAGGCAATTCGATTGTGCCGTATAAGAAACAAGCTGCAGTGAAGACAAGGAAAGCTGATAGAAATTTTTGGAAGAGAACTAACCAATCATGCCTTTCAGAATACCAGCAGTTGAAGCAGAGGATGAAAGAACACCAGAAATTCTGTTCAATAAACATGAAAGAAAGAGCTCACTTCAGCTTCACCGCTCGAGATCGTACAAGGAGAACCGTTCATTCCCAAGCAAAATCAAGAATGTTGACCTCGTAGAGAAGTTTGTGGCCCTAAATTCCGAAAAGCTCCCCAGAACAGTGGCCAAAGATCGGCACAAGATGAAGAAAAACTCAGTCGCATCACCTCTAAGGACTTCTCAAAAGCCATGGCCCGGTAGGACGGTGACCGGTATCGATGAACCAGTTATGAACATGTCAAATGTGCCATTTTATCTTCAGCGCATTGAGAAAGGAGATGACATTCATGGAAAAGCACTGAATTTTGGAGTTCTGGATTGGGGGCGTCTTGAGAGATGGACATACCACCAGAAATGTGTCACTGATGTGGGAGGTGGAGACTCAACATCTAGTAGCACTGAGTCCTCATCATTTTCTACATTTGGATTCTCCAACCAATCTTGTATAACCATTTCTAGTCCTCTACCTCGAGGGAAGAAATCTCCTGTTGCATCTGAAAGAGAAGATTCTGGACATATAGAAGGCTCTCCTGGTTCAAGGATTTCTTGCACCAAGTTTCCTGGTGGAAGTGATAAGGATCATGATGGAGACTTTTGTGTTGATGTTTTAAGCCACAAACATGTTGCATGTAACAGTAAAGATTCAGCTTTGGAAGCCATGTCCTGCGAGGAGGTACTGCGAGTTCCACGTTCTACAACTGCACCTTCAAGTTACAAGATTGATGATGCTACTGCAACTGGAATGGCAGAGGACCCAAATGGCAGCTTGATGAAAGCAGAAGAGTGTCAATCCAAGGCCAACCATATGCCACAACTTTCCCAGGATCTCAAAGGAAGATGGGATCATCTTCCAGAGAGCATCGACAGTGGATGGCTTAGTTCTGATTCCCCCCCACCATTAACCACTGACGACTGGCTGGCCGAGGGAAGTGGCTGCAGTCATTCAGGTACTTTAGCTGACGATGTCGAAATCATCCATCGATATCCTCAGGTTCCTCACTCATGCCCTCTACCTCTTGCCGTTCCGGAAGATGAACATGACATGTGCTGCACTCTTCCATCAGAAATTGCAGTACCAACCGATAAATCCATATGCAGAAACGGAGACACTGAACTATTCTCTAGAGGTCTCTGCAAGCATCATCCTGGAGCCAATACAGCCCAAGAATCCAGGATGTCTGAGGCAAAAGTGACGGCTGTGGCAGGAAAGAAATCATCTGACCATTCAAGTACTGTTCTAAAAAGGATGAGCAGAAGTTCTAGTTCGAAGGAAGCTTCATGCAGAGAGCAATTTGATCCTGTTTCTTGTCCATATAATTCACTTGGAGATCAAGCAACCTTCAAGAATAAGCACAGGCAAAGCCCACTGAGGAGGATGCTGGATCCAATACTGAAGCCGAAGAACAATGCTCATTCGACAGGGGCATCTGCAGCCTCATGGAACGGTCGCCATTCTTGTGAGCTAAGTAGAATGGACATGCCTTCCCATGGGTTGCGCAAGCCCTTAAACACAGGTGTAGACTCTGCATGTCCTGCAGGGAGAAGCATGATTACTTCAAGTCAATTACCTGATGAAAGGCATGCGGCATCGATGAAGCAAGCTCTTCTTCAAGTTGCTTGGAAGAATGGCCTCCCGCTGTTCATGCTCTCATCTTGTGACAGCGAAGTACTTGCAGCGGCAATAACAATGAGAAGCCTCGACGGTAGTGATGATCTGGAGTGCATATATAGGATATTCTCTGTGAACAGTGCCAAGAAGAAAAGCATGTTCTGGAGCAACTACGGGAACAAAGACAAGAGGCATCAGTTGATCTCCCATGTTGTTGCCCAGCTGAAGGTTTCACTCTGCAAGACGAGGAGCTACGACAATGGCAGGTGTCGTGTTGCGAGAGAGTTCGTTCTGCTCGGTGCTCATCCATCACCGACGTGTGACAAGTCTGTTGACTCTTCAGCTATGAGCGAGCTGGCTGCCATTGTTGTTAGGGTGGTACCACCATACATGTGCAAGTCGGATTCCTCCACCGAGTCGACGAATCCAGCAGGAAATACAAGTGCTTCGAGTGATGAGAAATGCTTGCAGACAGATCGGCTTCGAGTGATACTTCCAAGTGGGGTTCATGGCTCGTCGACCGATGGCGAGCCCTCGCCGTTGATAGAGAGATGGAGATCAGGAGGAGCATGCGATTGCGGAGGCTGGGATGAGGGTTGCATGCTAACTATTCTCAGCGACAAGTTTCAAGAGCAGCACAATAATACCTCGTGTTCTTTCCAAGCCCGTCAAACCGCAGATGGTACTCAAAGACTTGAACTATCGATTCAGGTATGGCAGCCTAACCGGTCATCTGTTGCTTTCCTGGCTGTGTTGGTTTCAAGTAGATAACAACGGCTGTTGAACTCTCTCAGGGCGGATCGAAAGAGAGAAGACATGCCGCCTTCAGCATTGTTGCCTTCAAGCAGGGGCTCTACACCGTGGAGTCTCGATCATCCATCTCTTTGCTTCAGGCTTTAGCTATTTGCATAGCAGCGCTCCATGGCAGGAAGCCCTGCAATCATCCAGCAGAACCAAAAAACTTGCAGAAACAAACTGTGAATGATCAGCTGGGGCGAAGTGCTGCCAAAGCCTATGTACCAAATCATCCACCGCTTTCGCCTGTTTGGAGAGCTTGATTGTCTGCCTCATATATTATAGACTGGAGTACGGTATAGTAATTCTGCAGTTGTTTTTTCTACTGTTATTAGCTATTCATCGCGGTAAAGGTGATAGAAGAAGACCAACCTCCATTTACGGCTATCCGCGATCTGCTTGTGTCCATTAGCTATTCATTGCGTAAAGGTGATAAAAGGCTGATGACCTGATTCAGATAGCCGTTGAAGGAATATAACGGGCAAAATTTGTCCTGCTTTAAACTTCACAAACTATACAGGTATGCAGGAGCAGCAGCAGGTAGATGAGATGGCCACATCCACGGATCCACCAACCATGTGATGTGTTTCTCCAAGTGAATCTGACATGACCCCGCAGCACATGCACTCGAATCTACCAACAAAACTGGAGATGACTGCACTTGGGGTCATTAAACCAAACTTAAATCACCAAAACTGAGCTAGTATTAACATCAACCTAGCATTAGGCAGAATCTAACCATTCGAATATCCAAATCTAAGATTATGTAATGTTCTCTCTATGCTTCAAGAAAATTGTAAAAGAAAACGGTCATAAGATGGTAGCTTAACGTAGTGGAGGAGGCAGCATAACCCCAAAGAGGCACAATTATCTGCTGCCTGTCACACTGGACCAGCCATGTCAAGCAGCATTATTCAATAATCAACAAACAGAGACAACGATTATGTATAAGGTCTGGTGCCAGTTTTCATGATGGGAATTGTCAAGTAAAAAAGAGCAGGAATGAGTAGTAACCAATCTTCCACACATTTTTTAGCATGTGTGGCTAGATAACAAACTGATTTTATATCCCAACTGCTGTTGATTAATGAACGCAAAGATGCCCAAAAAAGTCACCGTTAAACAAGTAATCATAAGACCAAAAAAAGAAAGCATGATCTTCTCTCTAAACAAAGTTTATCTTAGATGTTGCCTCTCTCTGTGTCCAAAGTAAAGCAGAATGTGTTGCATGATCATTTGATGTATGTTGCCAATTGTGAAATAGCATATTGGTCTGAAAAGCATCAGATGCTTCACATCGGAGGCCTGTTTGAACCAAGTAGTTGCCCTACTAAATTTGTCACCTGCAAATACCACAATCATGGAGACTAAGATAATATTTCTTCACGGTACCATAAAAATCTGGTAACAGCAAGCAGCATGAACTAACAGTTAGCAAAAGTAAAAAGTCCATTTTAACAAAGTTTGAGTGCTCTCTTCAGAAATGACTGATCAACTATCAAACAATTATTAGAATGTGGTAATCGAAATGAGGGAGTCTTAAGTACAGGATAAAAGAAATATTATTTGGATGATTTATTTCTTTTCCTAAAAGCTCACGTTCCATGAAGTTCTGCACATTATACACACTTTTTCCCCCTAAAATAAAATAAGGAACACCAAGGTTACAAAAAGCTCCAATGCAATGATAACCCAAAATAGATCGAGGACTTTTCAGAATAGAGTGATGTAAGCAACTTGCAGATTTAACAATGATAAATCAGGCAGACACTAAAAAGACGACAGACTGACATCAAAGACATATAATATATTGTCATATATGAACGCCAACATGTCTGAAACATTTACATAGCAAATTACTAGTAGTATTTACTCTACAGAACTCAACAATATGATATATGTAAAGAACTTTTATGACTATGCCATCACCTATCATATAAGTCCCTTTCATCCTTTTGGGGCATCTACATATATCACTATTGTTCCACTTAAAATTATCTTCACACACAATCCAACTGAACCTCAATGAGCTTCTCTTCTTACTTTTGCACTGAGATGTAATGATGGTATCTAATAAACTGAAGGGGAGTTTGAAGACAATAATTTGTAAGGTGCTTCTTGATTTTAGATGTATCTATTCTCTTTTTTACTAACAGGAAAGTATATGTACAAAGACCACTTAAACTAAATACAACATTACATAAAAGTCTGCAACTCCAAATATCTTGCCTGCCAATATTTTGAAACACAGCGATCAATGCAACTGTTTTCACCCATGTTGAGCTCAGATTCCTTATACCTGGAAAGAATATCAAGGGTAGTTGTCAGTTAATTCCTTGCTCAGTACAAACAACAACATTTGATGATTTAATCATTTTAAAGGAAAGTCAACACAAATTTCTACTCTAGAGAAAAGAAATCTTCCAAAAATATTTTGAGAGCAAAATACATCAATCTATCATGTCACCGAGCAAACAGATGTTAAATATAGAAAAAGATAAGGTCATAAAGAGCAAAACAAAGTGCTAACAGACCATAAAAAAGTTGTAACTGTAGCATGACAAACCTTTTCTCAATACATTTCTGAAAACATGTCTGTGTAAGCCTGTTTCAAAAATAAAGAAAAAATGTCAAATGATTCCACCTGTTATACAAGTTACCATATAAGTAGCAAAGACCTACCTGGATGAATTTCAGATTCAAATTTAGAACCTCAACATTTGGTGACATGTTGACCATGTTAAAGTTTAAAATTTCAAATGATGCACCTTTTTTCTACCTTTAGAAAAATAAAGAGAGTCCTCTTTTGTAAGCGATACCAAACTGGTAGAATGAGAATGATAATGTTTATAATTATCATTGCATCATCTTGAGGCCTGACATGAGGCTGATGTGCCCAGCTCCAGTTTACGCTCAGATCCCATCAGCAACCAGCCAGACTGCTGCACTGATGAAGGGCTGGGTCAGCTCCTGTGGGAGCCACAAAATGTGATACATCCTTTGGCAGCTGCAGCAAGCTCTCATTCTGACTGGGCCAACAGAGGGATGAGTTTGAAAAAGTCTAAAAGACCAAATCCAAGACCCTGAAAGAACACCTAAAGGTATTAGCAGGTGGACTACAGCAGGGACCTGACTTGAAAGGATTATTCCCAGCCTGAATAAAAGAGCACCAGGTGAAGCCATCTGTGTAAAGGATCAGCCAGCCTTAGTATCGAGTTACACAAGGCCAGCTAGCTCTGTAACTCAATAAGGTCGGCTAAGTCAGGGCAACAGCATGACGATTGAAAAAGTTCCCTTTCAAATAAGTTAAGCCCTAAGCACATAATTCTCTATGGTTAAGGGTGCTCGCAAGCTCCAAAGAAGTCTGAACCTTTGTTATTTTGTTTTCAGAATAATGTAATATTCTTAATTTCTTATTACCTTCAATCAGCTCTTATGGAGCATTTCTCTCCATCAAAGCAAGAACCCGAGTTAGCAGAGGTTGTTCCCAACAGATGAAGAAAGGTGAACTGGTGAAGTTTAAGCAACGGAAAATACAAAGAACCCAGCCACATGATTTATGGGAATTTTCAAAGCATGGAGAACATCAACTGGACATTGATGCTAAGTAACTTTAATATTTTACATTTGAAGGCTGCTTACCTGTTAAAGAGATCCACCCTGTACTCCATTTCTTTCTCTGCCATTCCAAAAATCTGCACAATTAGGTTAGAAGACTATAAGATAAGTTCATATAAAATAGAAAGAAAAATGATAAAATGACCTTAGATAATCACAATACCAATGGTCATGAAATTTAAGTAAAAAAGATCATCAGTGTCTTTATAGGATTGCTAAATACTTGAAGAATAATACTACGGAGAAGAAAAACATATCCACATCATTTACACATAAGCATGCATATTATAGCTGAAGCAACAAGCATCACATAGTATGGTAAAGCTCAGCATTTCTATGTTGCATTTTGCAAAATGCCATTCACAAACGTGTACCCAAGATTGAATAAGCAAAAGACTTTACTAGAAGACAGGCCCAAGAACAAGATACATTTACTGTCTTGCCCGATTGAAGAATTAAGGCTATATTTCTTCTGCAAAAGACCAGTGTTTAGAAGTTCCGTAGTGAACTTGAAGAAAACAATTCAAATATTTCAGAGAATAAGATATCAAGAACACAAATAACAGTTGCCAACATGGTCCATATCCAATGATAAGAATAAACCGACCAAAATGAGGAGAAAATATTATGCACAAGAAGATTTAGGTACCTGCTCTTTCTCAATACTGCTTGCGCCGTTTTTAGTAGCCATTGTGGAACTTGTTGAATATCCTGATGCAGAGATGATCATAATTGTTATGCAAAAATAAAAAGAAAAAGACCCAGCATAAACGACCGAGAAAGAAAGGGGCGCATTGCTGAGCACATACGTCTAGCAAACAAATCGAAACCGAAGGCGGGGGTCCAGTTACGCTACTTACACATGAAATCAAATTAAGATTCACAAACAAGAGCTTAATTCGTGGAACCAAAGCTTAGTTAGGACATCGGGATTGTAGTGGTAACGATCGAAGAAACAAAGCTCATTATTGTTCAACAGAGGGCAAAGATTCACTTCCATAGATAAAATAACCTACAATGCCGATGAACTATAGCGAAAGCCTTACCGTCGTAGGATACGACGCCGCCGGAACAAGCAATGGGGAACGAGAGATCGGACCGCAGCGAGAACGAAGCAACTTTGGGGCTCTTTTATGTTTTAGGGCTCCTCAAAAACAAGTGGTCGGTTGGCAAACGAACCAATCTGCACGTAACCGACCACCTTAGCCCGAAACGGTTCGTGTATTCGGGTTTGGTTGCACGAGTTCTTCTGCAGGTATACACAAATTTGTGAGCACACACCAAAATTCTCCTAATTAATTTATTTCATAAAATTTATTTATAAACATAAAATAAAAATATTTTATTTATAAAAAAATATAAAATATTAAAAATTTAAACATAAAATTAATTTAATGATTAATATTAGAATGTTGAAGTTATAAGTATTGAATTTAATTATAAGTATATAATTTTTTTATTCAGATTATTAATAATAAATATAAAAAAATATTATATATATATTGTAATAATAATATAAGATGAAGACACCATTAGGAACAAATATCTATACCCGCAAATATAATTGACACCTCTATTGTAGACACCATAAAACAAAAGCAGAACGAAACATTTATTATATTGATAAAGCATGGATACAAGTCGCAACTGCATTTCACACTCTTCATATGTGTTCGTCCACATCTTTAGCTTCCATACAAACAATGCAGTGTGAGACCTTTATTATACTTCAAAACATAGGGACACAAACGACTACAAATTATACTCTTCATATGCCTTCATCCACGAGTCTATCATTTCCAACTTAGTCTATGAACACTATACTTTCAGCCAATCAAAGCAACAACATAAGCCCCAGCAGAACTTCTTAGGATAGTCCCTTATGAAAACCTCCCTGCTGTATCCAATTATATAAAAACTGAAGGATCGATTGCCATGACCCATCGTCACTCGTGTGACAGGTACCACAGAGATCATGTGCCTCTCACAAATGACCCTTGCGGCGGGGGGAATCGGAGAGCGATTAGCAATGACTTCAGACGAGAACCTGTTGAGGAGATATGAATCGGCAAAAAAAGCAGGTGTGCATTGGTATGCCTGAATGTTGCATAGCTGGACCCCCCTGGCTCTGTGGAACACTTCATCAGGAACTGAGGCAGCAGCGCTGGTGGCGCTAACTTTCCGGTTGGAGAGCGTCTTCCTGCACATAAGACCAATATATCATGAATTGGCTCTCAGTCTGCTTCTGTACTGAAGCATAAGATAAGATGAACACAAGCATAAATATCTGGATGGGAATGAACTGGATAAAACCGCACGTTCTTAAAGCATGACAGTTTGGCATGCGCCAGAATGTTCTTCAGAGAACAATAGGTGGAAAGATGAACACAGAATTATGATGGAAATGTTTTAAATCTATGAAGCATACATTATAAATTGACACTAAAACCAGAGCAAACAAGGAAAGCCAAAAAATCAGTAAACTTAACTCATTTGATAATGCAGTTCAAGCCCATGGAAGCTTGATTCAACATCAAGTCTGGTAAGCGATAATTTAAACCAAGGTTCAATCTGGAGAACTTTCCTAATTTTGTGAGAGTATTTTTGTACTCTACTTTATTTGATGTACTAAAGGGGGGAAAATGCAACTAGAATTTTTTTCCGCAAGCCCTTAATATGGGTACAAGTGTTAGAACTATCTTACCTTGCTTGGATAGGTTCTGTAATCATAAAGAATCTAGTCTGCTAAAAAAGCTAGGATACTGATTTATTTCTACACACAGATGATATTAAATTAGTTTATGTTGATGAGCATTTGGATGGGTGGTTCATCAATGAACAACAGCAAAGGTAATTGTCAATGATTGTTGAAGATGCCACATACAAAAGGAGGAAGACAGCTTGCGTGACATAAGGCACAAAACTTCTACATGGCTATAAGAAAGAGAAAATCCTCAGATTATTTCTGTGGATATCATAAAAAAGGATACTACTCAAATGTTCACCATAAAAATGGAATTGATTTCTCTATGGTGCATTATCCATGTCTGTAATATGGGATATGATTAGTAGGAAATTATGTTGAAATCCACCAATGTGAGCAAGGGATTACTATTCTGTGATAGAATGTCTTTGCTTGCATCAGACTGGGGCATTATCCTTCTAACTGGAAATCAATATATGGCTCAGCTCCACTCATTATGGAGCTGATCATTGATTTGGACTAAGATACTAGCTCATGTAAATACACACTTGTTTTCGGGCACCACGCAGATAGTTTCTTTAATATGGATCAAACTACAGATATGAATTTGATTATGTACCAAAAGTTGCAACTTATTACATCTGAGGAGCTCTTGATGAACTGAACATAAAAGCTGATCTTGTCTCTAGTTCAATTTCAACTCGTATATGCCACATCAGTAACACATCTTCCTCTTTCTTTTTTTCTAAAGTTTGCTAAATGCTAAGTCAATATGTTCATAGTGTTTCATTCTTGAATACTTCCATTCCATCTCAATGTCCATGATTCAACCTTAATGTGTTTCATCTGCAGCCATTGATATTTATATTTATGATATCAGTCATTTGTCATCCCTTGATTTGGAACTTAAACAACCAATAAGGACAAGCATCATAGTGAATTATGTTTCATCACTTTTTGAGGAAAAAAATCCTGATTCTGCAGAAACATAAACTGCAATTTTTAGCTCTTTAATAAGTAATGTATAAATGACTATACAAATGACTATACACAGACAAAATTGTCAAAAGAAAATCGGTAATAGAAAATTCAAAGAATTAGCTTAATAGAAGGTACAAATTAAACATGCAGAATTCTGAATATAAATTTGTAAGGCGAGGTGCAACTGCTCCTAAAAGGCTTGCATCACATAAGAATGTGACAAGCTAGTGATTATTTTTCATAAAAAATATTTTAATACAATGGCATTCAGACATGTTCTATTTGCATCAGCCAGTTAAGACCTTGAAATTCAGCATTCAAAATCGATAAAAAATTTTAGTGTTAATGTGAAACATACCATTTAACAAGAGCAATGTTGCGTGTAATGAGAGAACCTTGTCCTTCACATGAATGGCATTTCACAAGGCCCCGGGATCCACATGTTGCACACGGTAACATTCCCTTCCCAGAGCATCTTGTGCATCTGTCACAACCTTGATACTGGTAAGTTTCGATAGACAACAAAAGAAATCTAGAACCACTATTAATAGAATGCTCAACTAGCTTACATTGTATCAGATCCATCTCGATGAGCAATCAAACCCCTTCCATAACAAGGAGCACACTGGGTCATCTGATTTTCCTTGTAAAAACCACGTTCTTGACCAGCATTACATGTAGGGCAGACTATATCGCCTCGACTATCACACTCTGCCAGTTTTTATGGATATAACAGTTGACACATTATGGTAATAATGCAGATGGTGAAAATTTTGAATAGAAATAATTAAAAATAGCATCTAGTTAAATTGCACAGTCATCTGGCATTAACACATTTTATAATTCAAGGGATGTAAAAGAATGATTATAAATTAAATATTTAAATTTCAATCACCGAGAAAAAGTAATATGACAGAGACAGAGCTACAATTATATATTTACAAAGTTATAGCAGTCATTTCACTGAAACCATCAAAGAAGCAAATTGAAAAATCTACAAAAGAGTGCAAAACATCTAGCACATTACCCATCTAGGCCTCCCTTTTAAGCTGCTCGGTATCTAGATTGTTGCACTGAACGAAAACTGTCAACGTAATAAGAAATGAGTTCATACTTAATCTTTGTTGGACAACCTAAAATCTAGGAACAATTCTACCTCAAGAAGGAAGCTTCCAAAAACAATTCACCATGAGGGATTTTTTAGTAAAAAATGTTCTCTTCTGATAAATTATAGGATATATTATCCCACGCCAAAGGTGAAACTAAACTATGTGCAAGTCATTACTTGGTCTATGAGTCATTAGCAGTTGAATATAAATTAGTCCTAAAATGATTTACTCTTAGGGAAAAAAATCTACAGACATAAGTAGCAGATGATAGGCTCTTACCAGGGCATTTCTCAACAGCTTCAGAATGAGGGATCTTAACCCTTGTTTCTTTTTGTGGCACAAAAAGAATTGGAAACTCAGACCTCAGATCCAATTCCCACACCCCAAATTCCTGTCCCTTCTCTTTCCCATCAAATTTTCCCCCCAAGTATGGCTCTTTTTCTTCAATAGTTTCTCTCTCCTCTATAAAAGTTTCTAGAGTTCCAACATATACATTGCAGTCCTCAATTGAGCATATTTTCCACCTACGGGCAGGTTGACTTCCCCAACAACAGCGGTGCCCCACATGGTCAATAAGTAATTGTCGTACTTCCACTTCATCCAGAATTTGCCTGTAAATCAATTTAAACACAATTAAACTACCATTTTTTTATAACAAAAACCTTCTACATGATGCTAAGAAAGAAGAGGCCTGCTGAGGTCTTAGAAGTGAAAATTATTGTCTATTGGATAATAATTCAACAACTACAACATGTACATGAGAAACCAAAATCCAAAATATTGTGCAGCAGATAGAGCAAATTCCTAACAACCAACAGACTGTCATACACAAACATTTTTTAGTCCTAGGCTGTTTACTTTAAACATTTAATTAGTGCTAAGGGTTGTACCAGCGAATTAAATATCTGAGATTGTATCCACAGCATATAATGTATCATAATTCTAATGAAAGAAGAAAAAGAAGCGAGATGCGACAATAATAAGAATCTTCAATAAAAAATCAACCAAATGGCAATTGAAAACAGCAGATTTGACAGCACATTGCTAAAACTGACCTCCCAAATTCTTTTGAGCTGTATCCACCAGAGTACCCATCGTATCCTCCTTGAGGAATAATAGCTTGATCTGTAACAACTGGTGTCAAAGGCAACATTATTCATACTGCATAGACATATCGTTGATAAATACTAAGTGAAAGTCATAGGATTCCAGTTTGTTCCCAATCCAACATTAATTAGTTCTCGACCACAAATTAACAAAGAAAAACTATGAGGCATTATTCGTCACGCCATTCAAACACATGAAACCAAGCCACAGCTAACAGCTGGTAGATCAGAAAAAACTTTCTGCTTCGGGATCAGATTCCCCAATAGGAAAGAGGAGAGTTCCCTCAATGTTTAGTACCTCCAAAGAGGAGTACAAACCCTAATTTGACAGCCAATGGTACCAATCAAAGAAGAGATTCCCGTACGACTAATGACTAAAGCTAGAAACGAGTACCTTGGGAGAAATCGGACTCAGGGGAGCCGACGAGTGCCCCGTGGATGGAAGGCGGATAATAGTGGTCGGAGGAGAAGACGGAGGCTGCTCGGATCTCCTCGACGCTCAACTCCTTTCCGGCAGCGACAGACGATGGGGGTGCATGCACGGACGGGCTCCTCCCGACGTACTGGTACGAAACCAACGACTCCTCCGCTTTCCCTCCCGCTTCCCCTTCAATATTATTGTGAATTATAGCCGGTAACCAAAACAGCGAGCTCCGCCGGAACTCAAGTGAGAGAAGAGATAAAGACAGTGAGAGTCAGAGAGAAAGATGTACCTGATGAAAGCAGAGGTTGCTGCTCCATTGATGGAAAAGGGTTTTTGAGGGGTATGCGGTGGTCGGAGAGAACGAGGACGCAGCGGTTGAATGGGCATGATGGAAGAACGGCGTGTATATATCGTTCTTCGGCTCATTTCCAGCCCATGGGAACGACCAAAGTTCTCAGACACTCGACTTAATACCCTCACATCATATCTGACCTCAACATGTGGCCATATTTCCAACTCGAAAATGCGGGACCCATACATGTTCCATAACGCATAGCGCCACGTAGGACGAAAAAAGGTTGTGGTAGGAATTTTGGGGCGCGGTTCACTTGAAGATGGGCTTTGTTTTCTTAATTTACTTCTATTTCTTAGCTGCGAAGGAGGAGGCTGGCACGAGCGGGCCCCGCACGCGGAAGCGAACAGCTCGACGACCAACCACGCGCTGACTCGGCTTGGTTTTGGCAAGTAGTTCGAATGCACCGTTCGAGGGTCGACAAGTGTGAAAGTGAATGGACTCGAGTCGGGCCGGATTGAACCAAACCGACCCAAATTATCGATACCAATCCGACCCATATATTAAAGACCTTAAAAACTGTGGATCAATTTTATTTACAAAAAATATTGTTCGACAAACCTCTTATCAAAGAAAAGATCAACTTTGCCTTCTCAGGAGGAAATTTTCACTGGCTATATCTGCTTGAATAAGAACAAGAACATTGTATGGAATGCCGACAAACAATGCAGATACGGGTGTCTAGAAAGATCATGGTCTCTCTGTTGGCTCGAACGACCACAAAAGTTCAGATCAGAGAGGGATAAATCTAGCTGGATTAACAACAGTATAGTTCTTGTACAACACAGCCAGTGGAAATTTCCTGATGAGAAATCAAACACCATATGCATTAAATAGAAGACCAGTTTCACTGGGATAAGTTCTGCAGATTCCACATAAAAGAAAATGCAAAAGACAAAAAAGAAAGCGAGATTTCAAATGTCTTAGCAGATCAAGCAGCAAAGGTAGAAGAGCAAAAGATAACTATTTGCCATTGAGATGATAGATAGCTGCAAAATCCACCAAGACTAGAGATCTGGGGCAGTTGCTGCCGAACGCTTGATAGAAGCAGACTTGATGAGATGGTTGTAGCTTCCCTTTTCCTTGAAGAGCTGGGAGAAATGGTGCTTGCAGTACAGGATCCCTTCGAGTGCTGCATAGTTGGAGGGGGTAATTGAGCAGCCACCATGAGAACATTTGAAACAGGACTTGTGATATGCCTGTCCTTCCACAGTGACCTGACAGAATTAACACCACTATCAGCCACAACATAATGGACACCACAGATATGAGGTGTGTCTATTAGAAATAGAAAATTGTTGACGTGATCGTGTTTAAAGAATAATTATAATGTATACGAAGAAAGTTGGACGCATTATCCTTCATTACTTTGGAATGACAAAAGACCTCTTATTGAATTTTTTTTTCTGAAGATCATGAATGCACAGTTAAGGGGATATGAGTAATTAAACAAGAAAAAAAAGGGGCAGTCAAATCAGTTGTTTGTGACCTTAAGCAGAACAAACATGTTATCCAAGGAAGTATGACCACATAATTGCATGATTACCGTTTACAGCATCTTTGCATGGCCATTATGTGGAAAATCTTAATGTTAGAATATGCATTTGCAGCAACATAACTCGGTTGAATAAAAAAACTTTTTTCAGATTATTCATCATGTAGGTTCTGAATAAACTAAACTTCACTAGATTTAGAGCACACAGAAATATATAAACGAGTAATATAAGCCAAGAAGAACAACTTTTTGGCCAAACCTTTTCAAGAGGATAAGCTGTTTTTGCACAAGTGGCACATTTTTCTTGTGTTCCAGAGAACATACTGGCGGCTTTGCTGGGAGACCTAGTCTGAATGAAATACACGTCATGGATATTAGATAACAATCCACAAAATTCTTGTTGTCTAAGAACATTTTTACAATAAGCAATAAAGGATAAGTAACTTGGAAACAAACAAGGAAGAAAGAGGTAGTGGCAGTTTGAACTTACCAGTTCCGGAGCTTTTTCAGCTGATTTTGCAGCTGCAAACATTTAGAATAAGCAAATTTTAGGCATTATGTGAAAGTCATGATCAAACTTCTCTAACTGGATTTGCTAGTCTTACGTGACTGAAAATTCTTGTTGAAGTTGCCAGATTCTTTGAAGAGTTGTTCAAAATGAGGCTTACAATACAAAACGCCTTCCATTGAAGAATATGTACTTAGCTGACAAGAAAGAACAAGAAAATTAGAAGCATGAGTACATTGTCTCTGATCCAAATTCATGACTAGAAAAGTATTTAGGTGAATTTTCCATGCTACTTTTAAACATTTATTTCAGAATGCAGTTTTATCTTACTACAATAGTGAGGAACTACAAAATTTTTCTTCTTCTTTTTCCCATTCTTTTTTCTTTTATTTATTTTCCTGAGAGGAACTACAGATTATTGCCGATGCTAAATACCTCATGCCACATAAGAGACTAATACAGTAGATCAGAAAATTGATGACAAACAAGGTCATGAACTATTTCTTGATTAAGCAAGTCTGAAGTCATATCTCCAGTTTTGTAAAACAATTATATATAATTCATATAGCCAATACTCATACAGCTAAATCCTACAGTCTACTCAACTCTGAGTGATTAAACCAAAAAGGCATAATGTTCCAAAAATAACATGTGCATGAGACAAATACATATCAAATTTCATTTACTAAATTCGTCACCAAAGCTAAAAATTGGAATGAATTTAGTTGAAGTAGAAAGCAGACCATGACTGTGATCATAACAATAGCACTTTGTGACATAACAACGATTGACACACTGGCACTTATGCATATAGTAACCACAAGACAGGAAAATGAATATTCATTGCAGAGTCTGGTTAGTAAGATGGTAAGCAAAACACTTCTATCAGTAATTATGAAACATTATGATCAACACATAGTAAATTTTCTATTAATGTATTTTTATGAATGGCTCTTTCTCTTATCTGCAAAAGCTCAATGTGAAAGATCAAACACGATCTGGGAAGGGAAGAAGGTTTCAAATCTTAATAATCTGCAGTCCCCAAACTCTTTGGAAAATTAACATGATCTATGGTCTTTTTCTTCTATTTTATAATAGAAATTCCAACCAGGATGCTACATAATCCATTCAAATGTAGGCGACTCTTTAAAATCATGGCTTCTCAATGTTCATCTTCATCAATGCTGCCAATTTGATGCAAATAACTGAGGACATCAGAATCCAGTTTGGCTGAAATTTGCATGCAGCTTGATGCAATGGTACTTCAGTTTTTCTTCTCATTGGCAGTACATTTTAGAAACAAGTTAGTGACGGAAGGCCTACCTTCTAAATTTGAAAATTTCATTGGTGCACGCATATATATATCTACTATAGATTCCTATACTGGATCTATACTGTACTATTCTGGATAATCGTTCTGTGACAATAATGCCCAAAATCACAGACTGTGTGCTTCAACTTTACTAATTATAATCTTGCTTAACCCCATTATGTTTCCTCGGAATCATTCAAGACTGTGGCTACTTCTTAAATGGATCCTTTATGGTTCTGGTATATAAGAGGCAGATTCTCCGGATCTGATTAAACATGCCAAGACTTCTGCCCCAGAGAGAGGCTGTAGTAAAAATCAATACTTTGCAGAAAGGAAAAGACGATGGATTCAGCTATTTGGATTGCATTTAGACAGGAATCTGAGAATACATACGGACGTAAATCTGTTAGTATTTTGGTACGACGAACAAAAATGCAGCTGGCGGCATTATCATGTACTTTTGGCAGTCATAATGAATTCATCTGGACCTGTTTTGTGAATCTTGCGCGAAAATCACTTATAGGGGATCGATCATCGACCACAAATTCCGATCTTCCGGACTGTTCGAAAGAATACGACTGAGGTCAGGATAGTTGGACTCGTTAACATCTATCCCGGCCGATATGGAAGACAGATCATGCGCATCCTAAACAAATTCGCCAAGAAAATCCCGGGAAAAGGAAAGGGAAAAAAAGGAAAGAAAGGGACAAGAGCTATGATACCGTTAGGGTTCCTTTGCAGTGGTTGCACTTAAAGCAGGACTTGTGGAAGACAACGCCATCGGCGGTCAGCTGGTCCATCAGGTAGACCGTCTTGTCGCAGGCCTTGCATTTCTGTTGGGTGCCTGTGAAGTTGAAAGCCATATCCTCTTTCCTAATCGCTTCAACTCCTCCACCTCCAACGCCGACGGAAGGATCGCAAACACGTCTCCGAAGCCAAATCGGGAAGCAACGATTCGAGATCTCTCCGCTATTTGCCGCAGCCGGAGGCGTTAAATCGAAATGAAAGAAAAGGGGAGCAAAGGAGGAAAAAGATGGGAAGCCGGAAGCGCTGGTATTGATGATGATGACAAACGTGAAAGGGCATAAGAAGTGGCTCGCGCATGCGGGGATGGGATCCGCTGCTTAGCCGAGCGTTTCGAATGGGCTCTCCACGCCCCAGCCATGCAACACGTACCCATTTAGCAAGCTTTTCGGATAGTGGCGCTCCAACGGAGCTTATATTTCATTCAATAAAATGGAGGAAAACGAACCCTCGCTATGCCTACTCCGGTTTTGTACCCTTCGTTTCGTAACCTGCACGCCAATGGATAGATACGTCGGGAGCGTAGATAGAGGAAAAGGGGAGTGTACAAATCGTTCGAGTCTAACTACTGCGCATCGTGTAGGATCGAAGGTGATGACGACGTGGAGACAGCGACCCGACGAGCCGGAGACGATGTTTGGCACGCTGGCTATTAATATCTGACACGCACTCCCTATTACAGTTGCGAGTCACCCGCAATCCTACCCGTGTGGTCATTAGTGATACCTTACGGGATTCCTCTGGGACCACGTGTGGGGCCGGGTGTCGGTCAGGAATCACGGGACCTGCTGAGGTCCGCGGTAGAAGACACGTCCAACCGATCAGCAAATGCCACGTCTAAAATTTCAAACCTACAAAACCGCGAAATTTTTTTTCTTTTTGAAAATGGGAGAAATTTCATTAAAGGGTTAAACTGAACTCTACGTGGGTAAAAATAAAAAGTAAAAAGAATTATAGTTCTTAAGAGAATTATTTGTGATATGGAGATCGTGCATAAGGGTGAAAGAGAGGCTGGATCCATCAATTTTTAAGAGAATTTTTTTCCGAATCATAAAGCCATCTCATTCAAAAAGGATAAGATAGATGGATGAGTCATCGATTTTAATATAAAAAAATTATTTACCTCTATTGATATCATCTCAATTCTCTCTTTCTTAGGGGAGTTTTTCAAAAATTCATCTAGTGATAATAATACTATAAAAGATTATTAAATGATTATTTATCAAGATTAGTACCTTCGTCAAGCAAGACACCCAAATGTCAATCACATAATTATTTAAAGTCATAAGAAAATTTGGATCGTAGAATATTTGATAAGGATAAAGCAATAATATATTATAAGAAGAAAATGAGATAGTGAGTCAAACCATGGTTACACAAAAAATAACAATCAATCTAACAATGAGATGTGGTGTGAAGACGACTCCAAACAACCTTCCAAATAAAAATTTTGATTTTGGGAGTCATTTTTAGCTCTTAAACTACCTTCTAATTTGATCGGATTTTTTCTTAGGGGTTCATTCCATGACTTAAGTAATTATAGACACTATTTATTGAAATACTTTGAGATGGACTGAGTATCCAGACTCAATTATTATCGTTAAGCTATTTAGAAAGATAAATAACTTATATATTATAAACAAATATAAAAAAGAAATACCAATAGCCGTTATATATTACATGAGATACCAATAGCCGTTAGTATTGCATGACATCAATTAATTGGTAAAAATATTGATAATTTATCGTAAGGTCTTAGATTCAAATTCTGTCTTCGTTACTTATCATTCAAAAAAAAAAAAAAAAATCATTTGGACAACAGGATATTATGGGCCCTCCCAATAAGTATTAATGAAAATTCTAAAATTAAAAAAATTAGGTTTAAGATTATTTTCTAAAATAAAAAAAAATCTCTTTTAAGAGAGAGATAAGAAAGGTTTAAGATTGCACATGTAATCCTGAATATTCTACTTGTCAAAGAGGATGAGACAATCATATTCTACAATGTTGTAGGAGTATCATTTCATATCATATTGTTATAGAGGTTCTCGACGACTCGTGTAGTATCAAAACATGTCTTCCTATAGCATATTAGCAACAATGACATGAACCAAGTGGAGTTAACTTTGGTTTAATTCGATTCGGTCGGACCGAACTGTCGAAACTAAACCCAACCCAAACGTGTGCACGAGGAGGCGAAACCGCATCGTCGCTTACGGTGTGGCCGCCCGCCCCACGTGCGGCCGACGGTAGCTGCGAAGTCAAAGTCGGAGCACCAAACATACAGCTTTAAGCTAACTTCTCGGCGCTAACGCTGGCGGTTGGGAACTCCATTTTCGTTAGCCAAGCATAAGAAAAATCGATCGGGAAATCAGTTTGCGTCTGTTTGATCCCCGTGAAAGAAGAGCGCGACGAGGTGAGAGGGATCGACCGATCCATTGTCGCCTCCGAACCCCATTGCCCCGGAGAGAAGTTGGGATCCTTCTCCGCTCTCTCTTCTTGTATTTACCTTCTCCGAGATCCCTAATCCGCCGTCCTTGGGCTACGTCAACACACTTCCTCCGATTTCCCCGGCAGCAGCAGATCGCGGTTCGCCGCCGCGGCCATGGTGGACAACGGCTCCAGGACCGATATCTCCTTCTACTGGCGGTTCGTGAGCAGCGCCATCGCCGCCTGCTTCGCCGAGGTCGGTTTACTTGGACTCCGATCGCCGCGTTGGCGGCATCCTGTTACTCGTCTGCTGCTTGTCCATTTCCCATTTCTCGATCTGGGACGTGTTCGATTCAAGATCGTAAAATTTTAGATGTTCGATTTCGTTCCCGTGCCGTCCATTTTGACCATTGGTGATTAGGTGCCCTTGCAAGTCGCAGCAAGTAAACCGACCATTTAGATGCTCGAAAGAAAAAGGAAATTGCTCTCGTTGGCTAGATAAAAGCTTTATGATAAGGCAGCAGTTTGAGCTGGAGATCTGATTTCGTTTATGTGAATAGTGTGGGATAGGATCTGTCTTTTGGTTCATATCTGCAAATAGGACACTCGTCAAACACCTTGAGGGCATATTTAAAATGTCAAGGAGAAGTTGGACAATTTTGGGCGTAAAGGCTTATTAGGAACTCGGCCTTTTAGACTGTCATTTTCCGTAACATGGTATATATTGTCTTCGTAAACAAATTTTTAATTTGCATGTCCTCTCGTCTTCTTTTTGTTTCCTTACCACACGACACACTCGAACAAGCATCAGAATTCATTCGTATAATGTCCACGTTCTTTTTCCTATTAGACACTTTTTTATTTCCTTGCTTTGGAGGTAGATTCTTTCTCATACCGTATAATATGTGCTGATTTGATGCAGTTTTGCACCATTCCTTTGGACACTGCTAAAGTCAGGCTTCAGCTACAGAAAAAAGCGGCTGCCGGGGATGCAGTGGCAATACCTAAATACAGGGGAATGTTGGGCACCATAATAACAATATTTAGGGAGGAAGGTTTGACAGCACTATGGACAGGCCTCGTACCTGGGTTGCATCGTCAATGTCTCTTTGGTGGGTTGCGGATTGGGTTGTATGAGCCTGTAAGTTACAGTGCTTGTTCTAACTCAAAGCTCGGCAGTAGACTATCAAAATTGTCGGTTCAACTAATTTAACAGTTTGCCTATCTTGACAGGTCAAAGCCTTCTTGTTTGGTGATAGTTTTGTCGGAGATATTTCATTGATAAAGAAAATCCTTGCTGGGCTTATAACTGGTGAGTTTCATGGATAGTGTAAATGAAAACGATCGAATATAGTTTATTCAAGAGTTTGACGTTCTATCAATCTGATCTTTCATAATTGGGATCAGTGATTTCATTGTCTAAGATAGACTATGGCCAGTTTTTGCCTTTTTTTGTCATCATAACCTAGTTATTGCAATTCAATTAGGTGCCTTGGCAATTACTGTGGCCAATCCAACTGATCTTGTAAAGGTTCGCCTTCAATCCGAAGGCAAACTTCCACCGGGTGTGCCAAGACGTTATTTAGGAGCATTGGATGCTTATTTCAAAATAATCAGACAGGTCTATATTTCACAACTAACTGATCAAAAGTTTAAAGTGGATCATACTTCAAGTGAATTTGTCCAATTTTACAATTTAGGAAGGAATTGGGTCTTTATGGACTGGTCTTGGTCCCAATATTGCACGTAACGCGATTATAAATGCTGCTGAGCTAGCAAGCTATGATCATATAAAACAGGTTAGACCCTTTCCATCATATCTTATCAGTGGAGGCTTCTAGTTCTTTTATTTTTTTCCTTTTCATTCTTCTGTTATATGAGTCTTCTTTTGGGTGCAGACAATCTTGGAAATTCCTGGATTCACAGATGACATTTTCACTCATGTTTTAGCTGGTTTGGGTGCTGGATTCTTTGCTGTTTGTATTGGTTCTCCTGTTGATGTGGTATGTTTTTCTCAGAGTCAACTGCTATCCTTTTTTTAATCTAATATTTTTTTTGTTAGAAAATAAAACCAATCAAGGCGTAAAGTCATTTTTCTAATTTCAGTGACTGTTTGTAAAGTAATCATTTTTTTACTGTAAGTTGTAACTAATTGTTCTTTGTTATATGATATTATGATGCATTTTAGATATTTCCTCATATTACATATAGGTATGATTGGAAGACTGCTTGATTGCATATATAAGAATGCCTGTACCCTTTGTACGTCCATATCAATATTGTCACATAAAATTGCCAATTTGCAAAAATTGCTCTTGGCATCCATTATATTTTGCACTAACTTCTGTCCAAGATTATTGCAAGCTCATATTTGATAGGAAATTGATTCTTTTTAAAATGAAAGGCATGAAGGGCTGTGATTCTACGACACCATGCAACGTATGGTGAATGCAGAATATGGAGGCATTTGTTTTATTATATTAATATGTTTTTCCTCCACAAATTAGATATATTCTTAGTTGCTGAGCTTTTGTTTCTCCCAAGTACTTGGGTGCCTATTCTATTATCTGAATTCATATTATTCAGGATTATCATTATTTGATTTTCCAATGTTATCTTATCCTATCATCATTCGCAGGATCAGGACCACTCTCAGGTAGTCGACATATAACCTCCAATTATCATGCTTCTAAACTAGCAACACCGGTAAATAACATGGGCTTCATGAAGAACAGTTTATATTGGTTTGAAGCATCACCTGCACTTGATGCTTGATCTTCAACATCTGCATGTGTTGATACTGATATGACTGTATGTTGGCTAGTTGTGCTCAAGGCACAATAGGGATACACGGGTCATGTTCATGCCCTAGAGTGAGGCCATTGGCTTTTACAAACAGGTCAGAACATAAGAAATAAAAAAACTTAAGCTACTACCTTGTTCTTCAGAGATTGGGTCAAATTATAGTGGATGGACATGACAGTTAAGAAGTGGCATATGCTGATGCACTGTTAGACCACTCAGGGGTCTAATCTGTTTCAATTGCAGCATTTTCCTGCTAGATGGTCCTTGAAGAAGTGGTCTTAAGTCTGGCCATGGGTCTCATAGGAAGGGCTCTGCCAGCACAAATAGGATGGAAATTGCTGCTGGTTTAAAACCTTTAATCGGGAGCTGCTTTTGATCTCTTTCCATGGTTAATTTGAAAAGATTGGCTGGAGAAATATTTGCCAATTTGATGATTTGCTGGAGGTCCCACAACTCTGTATCCTTAAGCTACATCAATCACATTCGAATATCAGTGTCATGTCCTCAAAGTTCTTATGGATGACATACACAATCCTCATGTAGCCATGTGAGTACAAGTATGATGTTAGTACCCTTCAAGAGTGTTAGCATAGAGGGTGATGTCAAATTGTATTTCCTGGATGCAAAGAGAAATTCCTCACACTTACCATGGCACTTAAGTTTCTTGCCATTGCTCTCCATAATAAACCTTGCAATAAGTGTGAGGATGTTCTTCTATGTTACTGGCCAGTGATGCTGAAGTTGGTAAAGCTGTGGGTGGATATGCTACCAACAGGAAGCTACAAGAATGCTGTACTCACAGATTTCGAGTGATACCATATAGGGTGCAATGAGATTTTGACATCTACTAGACACTTTGATTGTCAGTTTCAGAATTCCATCAGGTTCTTTTACCTGTCAAGTTTAACCAGGCTTTCTACCTTGTTGTCATCAGTCACACTATGAAATTGATAGACTAGCACTTGGGTGCCAGATTCCACTTCTTATTGCAGTGGGAACAGAAGCCCCCCAAAGTCTATCTCTTATGGTAGTGGGTGCGCAAGCCCTTTGCCTATTCTCGACCAACTGCGGAATTGTGAGAGCTTGCGTAGATTTTGAAATTCTGAGGATGCAGGAGATGTGGTTGATCTAGCTAAGGATGCCGAACTTGATGAAGGTGTCAACCTAGTTTATGCTGCCGAACCTTGACCAACCAAATGATGGAGATGGGGTCGTGTAACTTGATGTTAAAAACCAAATGTCAAGTTTAATAGGGCAGCTTCTTCGTGACTCATACTTCCTCGAAACATCAACCAATATAGCAGAATTAGCTGCAAGGACTTGTGTTTAAGGTTGATTTCGAGCATCCAATGACTGCACTAATGAGAGTTCCTAGAAAAGGTCTGAAAGTATAACTTTAAAGGCTTGTAAGCATGTGTATATGTGGAGAACAACTTTGGAGTTATCCTTGTTGCACTTATTTCTCTCACTTGTTCTCTATGATGGTTGGCCTTTAGATATAGCTCCCCTACTGATCCATACAGGTATGGTGGCAGCTGGGCTAGCTGGTCCTCTCTTCTGTTCCTACTTCAAGTAGGAGTTTTGGCCAACCCTTCCCGCTCCAAGTAGGTGTAATGGCTGCCTACTTCTTCGACCAGCCAACATAATACCACTCCTACTTGTAAGTATGAGTATCTTCAATTTCTCTAGGTTTCCTGTTCTCCATTTTACTTTGACTGAGCAAATTGTGTTCAGTTTAATTCAAATTATTATACTTATCAATTCTGATTTATCTCTTATTTCTTAATTCGTTCCAGTCCATAACAGTGTGAGAATCCTTTTACTTGCCACTCCACTTGGGCACTGATGTGGTGGTCCCTTCGAGATGATGTCCTAGGTTTCTAGGCACCTTTCTTTTAGAAGTGTTGCTTGTTGTTTTGACTATTGATGCAATGTGTCAATTTTGAGCAATGATCTGACAACAGTGTATATCTGGTGAAGCCCAAACTTATAGTTTGACAAATCTCACGCTAATTGTCAGCTAAAAGACACAAAAGTCCTCTGTCTAGGTCTGTGACAATTGTGCTTGATAATGTAAAATATATTTTGACATTATACAATAGACAGGTACACTATAGGGTTGCTTTAATCTTGTCATTCTATGCCAACATAGTGAGCAAGATTTGCAATTGGTAACATTCTCAAGAGATTGCTGCATCTTACCTTCTAAATTCTCCAGCTGAATATAGACATTGCTTTTTTCAGGTCAAGTCGAGAATGATGGGAGATTCATCCTATAAAAGCACACTTGATTGCTTCATCAAGACACTGAAAAATGAAGTATGTTGAAGTTTTTTAGCTTTATTTTGTATTTCTACTTGCTTAGAAATGTGAAAAATGTTCGGAAAAAAATCACTTGAGATGACGAGATGCATCACTTAATGTTGTTATCTTTGGGATCTGCCCGAATTGGAACTGAATACAATGTGTGGTTGACTTGAACTAAAAAAGGGAGATTTTTGCTTGCAGGGACCTTTAGCTCTTTATAAGGGCTTCATTCCAAATTTTGTTCGGCTTGGATCATGGAATGTGATAATGTTCCTGACACTGGAGCAGGTAAACTCTAATTCATATAATCACAATTTATTAGCTTCCTCTTGCAGTTCTTACAAGTGCAACAATAGGGAACCTCTTGCCCAAAGACTATGATATAGCTAATTGGACTTAAGTAGCATAGCAGTAGCTTCTGAACAGCCATGTGAACTTAAAAATTCCAAATAGCTTTGCGTGTTTGGACGAATTATCAAACATAGTAGGTAGCCCCTTATGAGTGCTTGTACTTTCACTCAAGTATGAGTGGTGGTATTCAGTTCTGTCGATGATAATATTCTGTGATATTTCTTTGATAATTTTACTTACTTTTGTGTCTCTGATGGACAGGTCAAAATGTTTTTTATAAGAGAAGTGCCTCTTTGATATCGTAAATCAAGATATCCAAAGTTCCTGTCACGGTTCGTATCTCTCTGGTAGAATGTACGTCTCTCGTTTGATTTATGAGTTGAGTTCTCCCCATTGCATGCTTCTTTTAATTAATCGAGGTTCTTATGGTTCCAGTATTTGTCTTAGAATCTTGTATCCTTGACTCGTTTGATCTTATTGAATATGGACTTATCAAAACAATCTGACCTTCTTTTAATTATTTTATCTGAACAAACTCTTGCCGTCTTAGTGTTTCTGCAGAAATGGTTTCAACCGTGTTGGATCCTCAGTCATGCTAGTGTTAGATGCAACGATTTCAATCTATGTTCATCTCGCTTGCAACCTACGTCCTTCTCAATTTTGCCATCTGGTTTACCAGTGCAGTATTAGTTCTTCTGTGCTAGTTCTTGCCATGATCTCACGCGTAGGATTTGCTCCTCCAGTCGCATGTAATGAAATGTCTCGTAGGTCTCGTGCAGAAATCTCTCCCGTGAACTTGAATCCAGGAAACGGGGCAATTTACTTAAAAAAACCCCCTATTAATTGATTTTTTTTAAATGATTGTTCTTCTCTTT